GTTGAAATTTAATTCAGCTTCAGAATATAAACTACATGTGTTGGAAGAAAATATACAGTATGCTAATTGTAGACAACATTTTCCTTTAAATATTAATTTCCATACAATATTGGGAGAAATGGGATTTCTGAAAACACACAAATTAGGCTTTTCACACTTGTCCAACAGTACTGTAAATTAATAAGCTTGTTTGTGCTATGCTAGACCTTATAATTAAAGCCTACAATGTAGAAATTGGCTCTAAAAACCTCAGTTTTGGGCATATTCACTGTATTCTCATGTTGAACACACCAATAACTCATTTTGTACATTAGTATGCATTTTCATACCAATAACATTTTCATACCAAAACTGGGTTACTTTACTACCTCATATGCAGTAAAATCTATATTTTTCGGAATGGCCCGGATAAACCAATATATGAATGAGCTAATACAAGCACAAATTAGGCTATTAAGACATATTTAGTAACGACCTTTGCAGGATGGATTCGGAGGTGTATAATGTGCCATTTGTTTTTAATGTTCATTAAAGTAATGAGTTTATTAGTACTGCGGGTGTCATCACCATGACAATGCTTGCCGTCTGCTTGACAGTGGACGTTCAAGATCCCCTAAGCCAGCGTTAGGCTCCAAATTTTCCAAATAAAAAATACCCGCAAATACTCAATTTGCATTATGCATAGCAATCAGCACCACGCACTGGTGGACTAATGGCCCATGTCACTCTTGAAAATGAGGCTTCTAGTCTCTTGCATTCTCACCCAGTTAAACTAAATAAACTTGAACCTACCAACATGTTTAAAGCGATGCTGGCACAGCCACTGACGTAGTGACGAGTGAGGAGCAGCTAATAACAGAACCATCCCGCTTGTAAAATCTGTATTTTTTCACAAGCATGCTGCATCCACGGCCTGGACAATCCACCCACGGATAACTGAAGGTTAACTGTATTGCACTTAGAAGGTAGGTAACAATATATCGATTAAACTCAATTATGCTTGGCTCAGGTCTCCGTAAATTACGTTACTTGTGCGTGGCCATCCCCGTTCTGAATCCCTTCACCCCCTGTGAAAACACACTCCTCTGTGCAGCTGACTTTTGCTTGCTCCTTCCTTCCCTCCCTCTCTCTATCTTCCTCTCTCATCACTTTCTCATACCCAACATCTTGGCCCAGCCATTAAGTCTCTCCATCCTCCCCTTCTTGCCACTCCTTCTTTCTTCCTGGTGCTCATCTTGAGGTGTGTAATCTTGGTCTGTCTTGGGGACTTCCGTCCCAGAATATCTTCCGTTTGTTGTTCCGTTTTGTCTTTCAATACATAATATAAGTGATTCTACTTCCCTTCCCGTACTGTGCCACGGGTATTAAGATTAATTAATATCATATGCTGTTTGAGTTATGCCAATGGAGTAAATTCTAGATTTGAAGCTTTCGTGACTGCAAGGATTCATACTCTTTGGTTTTATTCGGTAAAGTCACGTAGATAAAATAAAACAAAATAAAAGAAAACAATTAAATTACGATGTTTCGGAGGCAACACAAGCTTCCGTCTTCAGGTGGAATAGTCACAGAAGAATATCTGTCAATTGTTTTCTTTTATTTTGTTTTATTTTATCTACGTGACTTTACCGAATAAAAATAAAAGAGCACAATGGAGTAAACTAATGTTTACAAACAAGACTGAAAAAATAGCAACAATATAAATGAGCCAGTAAAAACAAATGGAATCGTAACAGAAATGCGTGACAGACTCATTCACGGAGGGTGTGGATCTTTTCGTCACATATTTAGCACCTGATTGAAGAACATTGTATTCAAATCTTTATGGCCATAGAAAATGTACTTTTTGTCTGGTAATATTATTACTCAACAAAACGTGAATCATTGCAGGAAATGTACTGTACATTGTGGCAAGTGTGCACCCATAATTTAGATAAGTCGATGATTAACACATTGTAGGGTTTCAATTTGATAACTGGATGTTAGTATTACAATTGTTAAACTTTAGTACTCTCGTGTGGCATGTTTTTATCCTTTGCAACTCCTGTTTTTTATAATCTTGTACAGTACTTCACATTCGTTAAATATACATGAAATATGTGCTTGTAGATGTCACTTTGGCTAATTTACAGCCCTTTAGCAATCCACTGCTGCACTGACATGTTTCTGTTCCGTAACAATAATAATTGTTAACCCTTTGTCAACACACTGATGGATGAAGACCCACCCACACTGTGTTGGTCATGGGTGTTGATTTATCTTCCTTCACCATGCTAGTTAGTGCAGGTTGGCTAAGATGGCAAAGGTGGGGGTGGGTGCCAAGAATGGTTCTGATATCACTTGCCACTGATGTTAGTCAGGATAAAACTCGGGTCAACTGATTCAAAGTGCAATGGACCAGTCACTGCCTTCTCCACAGACATTCATTTCCAAGTGCAAAGCAACTGAATAGAATTGCTATTACAATGCAGTATTATTATGTCAGTTACCTTTCCTCAACTTGCCTTGCGGATTTGGTTGATTCATCATAATTATTGGCCACTGTGCTAGATGAAGGCCTCCCCAAGCCATCTCCATCTGGTGGTCTTGTAATATCGCAATCCACGTATCACCTGCACACGAGGTGATTTCATCGCTGCCTCTTAGCGCTGTATGGCAGTGTTCTTCATTGCAAGGCCCGCGAGCCACTGGTGGCCCCTGATGGCCTTCAGTGCCACCACAAGTGGCCTACAGTGCGGCCCCTGACGTGCGGCCCCCGACAATGCACAAATGTGAAAACACCCCCCCCCCCCGACCCCCATCGTGATGTCAAACACCAATGGGTTCAAATGTGTGGTGGACCTCACACTGATGATGTCTTATCAGCGATAGTGGGCCTCCTCTGAAAATGAGTGAAGAACACTGACGTCTGCCCCCCAGGGGGTGTTTCCCTCCTTTGACTGCCACTTAGGCCTCGGCAAGGTAAAGTATAAGGTAAAAACAACGAGCCTACCTTTAACCTTACCACAATACAATCACTCTACCCTACTTTTTACCCTTTAGCAAGGTAAGGTAAAAGGTAAAAGGTAAAAAGCAACGAGCCTACCTTTACCCTACCTCTTACCCTTACCCCATACAAATGACCCGATTACAGGGTAATTACTGGGGTACTACACATGAAAAAGGTTTATAACAGGTAAATGCTAGGTAGAGCACTTTATTCATCTATAGAAGACTCTCGATGATTCCAATTTTAAATGGAGGCCGCGGACTGCGCAACGGAGCTTTTAGCGAGCGGTAAACAAGGTGTGTACCGGGTAATACTTCGCACTACCTTTACCCTACCGGGTAATACTTCGCACTACCTTTACCCTACCCTTTACCTCACCCCTTGGCATGTCGACACCTTTATCCTTTTTGGCCGGTAAAAAGGGTAAATTACCTTGCCGAGGCCTACTGCCACTGTCGTTAGTCTCGGCCACAGACCACGTCCTGCCCAAGACCGCTTACTGTTCTTAGCCGTCTCTAACTTGCGCATCGAGTCTATCGAATCGACGTATTCCTCTTTCTTTATTTCAGTATAATTACAAAGGAGGGACGATGATGACACTCAACAAAGCTACATACAAAATATGTTACATCTTTTCAAGGATATGTGTTGCCCCCACAGTAAGTTGTTACTTTTCTCTCCCTATGATGCACTTTTTGCCCCATGTATTTTAAAGCAAAATTCGGGGGTGCGTGTTATAATCCGGATAAAACATTCTTTCAGAAGACGTGTTGTAATCTAGGGGCCGTCCATAAATGACGTCACGCACCTGGGGGGGGGGTCAGACATTTGTGACGATGTGTGACGAGGGGGGGGGGGGGTTGAGAAATGTGACGTCACGTAAAAATGCGTTCTACTTAATGAAATATATATTTTTAATAAATGTTTTCTCCTACAACATGATAGTGCAGCGCCACATTAAATACGCACTACAATGACAATAGTTTAAAGCGATTTGAAGCATGTGTTTTTTTGGGGGGGGGCAGAGCTTTGTGACGTCATATTTGAGGGGGGTTCTCACTTTTTGTGACGCCGTGTGACGAGGGGGGGGGGGGTCAAAAATCGTTCAAAATCGCGTGACGTCATTTATGAACGGTCCCCTAGTTGTTCAGGATCATATTTCGGAAGACGGTTGTCCATTGCAATACAGTACCACCCAGAGGAGAGAATACCAGCAGCCGTTTTAGACATAACTTCCCGAAGATGTCTCTTTACTGTTCCATATTCTACCATTTATTAATCATACTTTCTCAAAATCACCACATTGTGTGTGGTGCGTCTAAATTTTTTTGGAGCATCTTTCAAACGGCTGAAGATTTTAAACTCAATAACACTGGGTAAAAATGGCACGCCATTGTGACGACTATTATGTTATTCTCAGAACCAAAGTAAATTTGCCGTGTTGAAAAACGTTGCGGGTGGGTCAGGCTTCATGATTGGCATCTCCACACTCACTCTTGACTGACCAAGCCCAAATACAGCCGAATACCTCAAAATTGGTGAGTGGAATTTCTACCCTTGAATTGCAAGAAACACACTTCAATGTTGTGGCTGTGCCCACGATTGACGGTTATCCTGTACAGCACCCTAGCACAAGCAATGCATTCCACTGCAGAGGAAGCACCCGTTATGCATTGTAGTACAAGCAGAAGTAGCCCAAACTGTAGGATAAAAAAAGCCGTAAAAGCAACTCTGAAATCAGGGCCCTTGGTGTTTATAACGTAAAAAATATATTGCAGATTGTTTCACTACAAAAGCTTTGTATGATGCATTAACATGCAAAATATTGGTGGGGCTTCAAATAGAGATATGTTACGCTATGGTAGTCTTGTTTGATGAAGTGTTTAATCTAGATCTGCTTTTATAACAACGTACTGAATTGCAAATGCCTGCAATACATTACGGTAATCAAACTATCTGCTTGTTTAATTAACTCTTGCTGTACTTGTTTTTGAGTGAGTTAAATGCAGAGTTTAATATTTTAGAATGCTTTATTTTAAAAAAACAATATCATTTATACATAATGTGCTTTCTTAAAGACATGTCAGAACTGAGATTCTCATCAAAATGTGCATGATCTTTCAAATGACAAACAAAGAACATACACATGTAATTTTCATTGCATGGTGTGATTCAACCGAATGCATTGAATTATTCAATTCAACACTAACCCTGAAATATCATATAATGCAAGCACCTGTAATAAACATACATTTTACAATTCATATTAAGCATAATCAATAGTCATCTTGTTTGATAGTTACAATATTGGCCTTCATCATCGAGCTGAACCTGATGCATTCATTGCTTTCATTAATCGTCCTTGCCATGTGTTCTGACAGTGTGCACACATCACAATGGGGAAAACGTCAATTGAAAGGGTAACGATTTCATGAAGTAATTTATCTAACTTAGGAGCAATGAAATAAGTGTAGGACTTTTGCACTGCCCAATATGTACTGCAATGCAATCCACACTGTGCCAATTGTGATCGTGTACAGTGTTGCCTTAGTTCCATGTTGCGGGTTTGAGAGGAGTCTGTTTAGGAGAATTATTAAATGGCAGCAAGCCAATCATGGAGACAGGGGATGCTGGCTTGGACCCTTTTAACGCCGGTGCCAAGGCGTCATTGTCGTGACTCATGACGGAAAGCTCCCGATCAAAAGGATGCGTCAAGAAAAGCAGCACGAATGGTGAAATTAAACTAGAACATTCATAACATTTCATTAGAATGTAAAATGGTCAAATGTTTCGACGATTCCAGGCTCCAGCATACAGCACATTGAGTGTAGATGAGGACGCTATGACGAGGGTGATGCATTTATCAAATATTTATAAGCAACTGAGTGGCTGTGCATTGTGTCAGTGTTGGGTGGAGATATGGGGGGGGGATGAGGGAGGTTTTTTTATTGACAAGTGAGAATTTACACTATTAGAGAAGTGCAGTGCAGTAATAAACATGTGCTGTTTTAAACACATACTATCCAATTGTTTTCATTTATTGAGTAGAATATAGAACTGGTGAAGTAGTAAAATGTGAAAAAGCACCGGATTGACGAATCTAAACTATCAGGCGTGAACAAATAATGACTTTTACATGCGTACACGCTTGCAGATGGAGCCACACGTCAGTATGAATTATTTGAAGGCCGCCATGTAACCCTATGGAACTGCGAATTATGCGTAACTAAATTATAACTCGTAGGCACTGCTGTGATTATCAATTTTATCCTTTTAAGTGACATGTCGCTCATTACTATACCGTATTAATGCTGAGGGCATTTCTCTGCAGATGAGGCAGGGGTATTGCTTTGTGCTTATAGGGGGCTCGCCAGCATGTTATGGTATTATTCCCAGCTCTGGACTGTTGTATCCACCCATTTTTACAAAAGCAAGGAGACCACAGAGGAACTACGGAAACCTGGAAAAGTCGCAGAAACAAAGAGTCAACGTCATAAATCTAATTCTGTTTCAGTTTATCGCTCTGATGTTGCATTCCCATGTATTTTAATCAAACGCTCCTGAACGTGCGCCACATCGACCAGGAATATGCCAACGGCCTTGGGTCAGCTGGAGAAGCAGTGCTCCACCGAATCATGCTTTCTAGCCAGGTCATTCTGCTGCCTCAGGGTGGGAAGAACCCCAAAAAACCATTGGCGCATTCTCATCACCTCCAATGAAATCAGTCAATACCCACCTGCGTATGTCACCTGAAATTACATAACCCAAGGTGGAGGAGCTCAGTGGCGGCACTGCATGTCCGTGAATCACCCACATACAGTCATTCTCTCGGCAGTCGTGACACTGATCAATCCATCAGGGAAAAAAAATGTGTCCACGTCTCTAAAAACTGCAGACTGCATATGGTCTTAAATGCCAATTGACCAAAAATGTTCAGGAGATTGGGTAGTATTTGGAAATGAAGTGAATTTACCATCAGATATTTTTTTTATGGACGACATAAAGCACCTAATAAGAGTAGACAGTACGTATCTGACATGTCAGTGATATGAATGTGTCGGAGAGTTGGGTTATAACCAACTAGAACATAGGCTTTTGGTCATTCCAGTACAGAAGGATACAATAAAACTTTGGCATTCAGAATATGTGGCAGAGCATTGTGGACTCAATGATGAAGCGGAACATATGACTGGCGAGGAACCTGTATTGGATCGAGGAGGTGAAGTGACCGAGATGAACAATGAGGTGGACAGGCAGTGGTCAGCAACCAAAGGGGGAGACGTGAGGCCGGATTCTCAGAGATACTGACAGAGGAAACCTTTGAGGACAATCCCGACTCGTTTCGGAGCCTGGCAGAAGTATCGGCTTGGAGTGGCACCATCAATTTCACCGGCTCTGATGTCCTTTGGATCTTGATGCTTGTTAATGGTTTGTTTCTAAAGCTCATGGAAACTGCAGATAGAATTTATGCACGAAACAAATCTAACATCTGTGCTCACAAATGGCATGATGGTGTTCACTCAAAATAGCTTTAAAAAAATGTTATCAATTATAATAGCGCCAACAGCATTAACAGCACATATCTGTGTAAATATTGTATAGCTGTGAATTTGTGAGAATTGCAATGGCACACAAAAGCACAACACTGCATGCGGTGTCTGTTGGCATCTCTTTTAAACGCACCTAGAACGTCCCCTTTTGGAGGCTCAGACCATTTTTTTTATTTTTGTACCGAAGTTTTGTCTTGAAGCAACGTACCTATAATGTTAAAGCGATGTGAACGCCTACTCCTAGAAATCTCGAAACTTCAACTCGGAGCCACTTGTTGACTTGAAGCAATGTGGGCACCCAAGGTCACAGTGCGATTTTGTGAACAAGTCCGCTTGCAATGTACAAGCACGTGTTTCGTCAACTTTGCTCATTCAGTCAGATTTTCCAAGGTTGTTTTTGAACAACTTTTCATCAACCGAACAGAGCCCACAGTCAATGCTGCAGCCAGCATTTATTGCTACGGCTTGTTGCCTGAAGTTTGTTGCTAAGCTTCAGAATGGCTAATTCCTAAGTGTGTGACATTCACTCATTCATGCTGATTGAATAATCTAAGTAAACTACATATCACTCATTTGCTATAGGTCACCTCAATTTATTGTAACAAAAGAGGTATATTAAAAGTCTTATTCTTGGTTCTTTCGGTAAAGTCACGTGACTTTACCGAAAGAACCAAGAATATGAATCCCTGCAGTCACGAAAGCTTTAAATCAAAAATTAAAAGTCTTGTAAACAATAAAAAATGGCCGTTTAGGTATGACTACTAGGGAATAAGAATAAATCAAATTGCAACACACGACCATGGGGAGAACATGCAAACTCCAAATATACAGGCCTAAGGGTCGGGATTGAACCCACGACCCTCCTGCATACCAGGCGAGGTAGGTAACATCTCGCCACCATGGCACCCCTATGAGTGGGGATGGAATGTGAATTACAAATGATATGTAATTCGTGAGCTCGATTGAATTTTGCCATGCCCTCCAAGCGTGTTGTTTTCTATTTGACATTTACTTATCTCTGGTTCTACGTCTCTCTCTTTATCGTCACTACTTTCCCATCACTTCTATTTTCCCCTCCAGTTTCCACCTACCCCATAACCATCCATCCACCTCCTTTTAGCACTTAACTTCCACACACACACACAATAGCACATGTTCAATCTTTCTGTAGCTGTTTCAAAATGTCGACGTCATATGCACGTTTAAAAAAAACATCAAATATTTACATTTCATTTATGTAACCATCATCAGGTAGAACGATGGAGGTTCCAGCGTGCGTTCCTCCGTTTCATAAAACGACTGTATACATGTATTTTTTTCATCAGATCATTTCCCAAACAATGGGAAAGAAACCATTCAAGAACACATGTTACAAGTCAAAGTAAAACAAAAATGCAATATCAGCTGTACAACATTAATTCTAAATTACAGTAAAAATGTAACTAAATGTTAAAAGCATTTATACAATAATGTAAAAAAACGTTTAATTGCATCCACAAATCCCACATTCAAAAACAAAATAAGCATGTCCTGCACTTCAAATGCTCCTATATTTGTCAGCACTTACAAAGGAATAAATTGTACTATCATAAAGTATTGTTTCAGTTTAAAAAATGTTAGTCATTTATACAGGTTCGTTTCCAGTTTATCTCTTTGCTTTATGAAGGAAAGTGAATTTGCATGGCACGATACGCTGAAAAGTCTTCTGGAACAGTGTCTGTAAGAAAAAGCAATACAGTTTTTTTATTACATTATAAAACTCTACATTTTCAAACAAATGTGCTGGTATGAATTATTAAATGTTGATGTGCTATTTAAAAAACAGTTTAAGCAATATTTTTTTGTAATCGCATACAAAGTTGCTACTTAAACACACTGCCAGAGCCAGTGGGGGGGGGGGGGGTGTCACGGGCCCCCCCCCCCCAATGATCCAATCCCTAATTTCGATCGGATTATTGGGGTTTATTAGTAATAAATCGGCCTTTTGCGACCCCCACTGCCACCGTGTAGCATATTATTACGTGCCAGGGACTCTATGAGATGATAGGACAATAGTCTGAGTCCATCATTGGCAATAAGTAACGGCAAAGCAGTTATAAGCGACTCAGAATTGTGCGCAGTTGCGTATACAGAGTTCACGACTTCCCTGAAGGCATCAGCACCTTCAGCGAGCGCGATGCCGATCACACAACGCGGTTCGAATTCGACCCTTGATCGATGGCTGTGCCATCGTCGCACACGCGTCGAATAAAAAGCAAGGGACAAGTCCTTATTTACTAACAACTATCATTTTTCATTGCTGGAGGGGTTGCCCCCTATACCTGAAAATTCTGGCACCGCCGTTGCATGAACAGTTACTGTTATTCGTGAATTTTAGGGGAATGTCATTAGTTCAGTTCGGAATTGAGGGTTGGTAAACAAAAATTGCCAAAAAAATAAAACTGATCAGATAAATGGATTTACCGTGAAGATTCTAAATGTACTCCATTGAACATCCGGTTATGTCCTGATCGTATAAGATTCCTTTAATACCATAATGGAGTGTTTACACTCGGTAGTGACTTTAGGGTTCCCATGAAGAAATTAAATACAACATGCGTGAATGAAAGATACAGCATTCTGAAACACACGATTCCATGTATGTATTGTATCACAGGCCTTGTACAGCATATACACACTGTGCCATGTATAGTAAAGTGTGTGTATGTACAGTTTATGTCTCAGCAAAATTGAGTTTAGGTTACTTAAATAGTATAAAAGTAGCCGATGTACTTTTATAGTTATTTAAGACATGCAAAAACCATACAATAACCATAAGTTGATCAATTTCAGATCAAAATATTTGGTTCAAGCAATGCAATGTCTGCAAATTATAGACAGGATTGGATTGGTTCGAAATGGATTTTGATAGTGGTGGACTCAATATAGTCAGATCCCATTAGACACACACTGTGCACCCCTGGTGACTTGTTTTACAATTCCTTTAACCAAATATATTTGTAATTTAGTTGACACTACTGGCTGTCTATTGAAACACTTATAGAGACCAGATTAAACACAAACACATCATTTTCTCAACCAAGCAACTTTCAAATCGTTGGACGTGGACTATTATGGTGGCACATGATAGTCGTCTACTTTTTAAACATTTGTCAGGGGGGTTTCACCATCCACATTTCAGCAGATGACAGTTTATTGTGACACCTTCATGAGTCGACAGCCACAAAACTCAAATCAGCAAGACCCCATGAAAACTAGCTCTGTGGCAGGCACACTGACCGCTAGGTGGTACTTGAGTTCAAAGACAACCACGAAACCATGTTTTGGAAAAGTATGGAATTATACACCAAGTAGTGTACAAGAAATATCATCCCTTTGTCTCACACACAGCATTTTTTATGCTAATTCCTTTGCCAAGGCACCTTGTTTCCTCGCACACAGTTTAAAAGTCGCGGTCTGAGCGTGGCTGTGTTTCACTCCAGCACTGTCCTCGAGACAGCCTGATCCCTTCACCTGATGAAGGCCGCTTGTGTTGTGGCCGAAACGTCGCGATTTTTTGTTTTATTTTTTACCTACGTGACTTTACCGAATAGAACCAAAGAGTATCACACACAGCAGTTGAGCTTTCCAGCGTAGCAGTGGCGTAGCAACTAAGTTATCGGCTCAGGGGGTGCGCCAATCGATCAGGTGGGGCTCTGATATTTGATTTGTTGTCGCACGGTCGCACCTAGGCTATATTTTGCGGCTCCTTCTGCCGAATCACATCGCTACGCTCACGGTCTCGAACGTTTCACGTGGTAAAGGGGCGGGCGCTCCGTCTTAGCAAAAATGCGGCCACAACAGCTCCTTCCTACCCCTTTGCAACGTTTCGTTACTGCTCGAAGTACATTTGAATGCAAAGTGGATCGTCAGTGGAAGCATTTTCATTAAAAAAAATTCATTTAAACCGCATTTTAAATCCGTTTTAGTTCTTTTACACTGTTGAAAAAAGATCTGATGGTGGTTGTCAAGGGGCCCCCCAACTCGTCGCTTTGGCCACCGGGGGGGGGGGCAAGGCACGCCCTGCCCCCCACGCTCGTCACGCTCCTGCAGCGTGCTTGCTCACCGTTGCAGCGGTAGCGCAGGTTGGACCAAATGATGTTCTCCTGGGAGAAGCAGAAGACTCCAAGTCGTCCACCTCGCATCGTCGTGTCGATGATGACCCCGGAGTCGGCGACCAGCACCGGGCCCTCGTAGAGCTTCACCCTGTAAAGGGCCGTCCATAAATGACGTCACGCGATTTTGGACGATTTTTGACCCCCACCCATCACACGGCGTCACAAAAAGTCAGACCCCCCCCTCAAACCCTCAAATATGACGTCACAAAGCTCTGCCCGCCCCCCCCCAAAATATAAAACATGCTTCAAATCGCTTTAAACTATTGTCATTGTATTGCGTATTTAATGTGGCGCTGCACTCTGATGTTGTAGGAGAAAACATTTATTAAAAAGTCTAATTAATTAAGTAGAACGTGTTGTCTATATTTATTTAAAGTTGCGCATTTTGATGTGACGTCACATTTCTCAACCCCCCCCCTCGTCACACATCGTTACAAATGTCTGACCCCCTCCCCCCCCAGGTGCGTGACGTCATTTATGGACGGCCCCTAACTGCAAAATAAGATTAATAAAATAAATTCCCTCTTACTGCCAAATTGCGTTATTTCAAAACCGGATGTTTGTGGTTTTCACTTGATAAAAGTATTCTACAGTACATCAATAGTATATTAACTACAGTACATCAATAGTATATTTTGGTACTGAGATGAAAACAGTCTACATTTCAGCTCGCCATTCGTCTTATTAATACACACAACAGCAGCAGCACATTTACATCCCTCTGTAAAATGACTCCACTGCAGAGAGGCTCCTGCTATGCCGGTCATGGGAGTTTGACCATAAAAACCAAAGAGTATAGTTTGACCATACTTCACGACTCTGGTCAATACAGGTTGGAAAGGGGGGGGGGACAGTCAAGCCTGGTACAGATATCACTTAACATTGACATTGGCTGTGGCCAAGAATGAAAGTCAGGTCGCTGGGTTCATAGCACAGTGTGTTAACCACTGTGCCACCACTCCACCTCCACAACTAATGTCATTATCAGGCATCGTCTATCCACTACTGGATGAAGACCTCCCCGGGGCATCACCATCCACGATGATCACGTGATGTGACAATCCATTCCACTCCTGCACGCCAGCCGAACTCATCGCTCTGTCTCCGCGGTGGTTCAACCTCTGGTGTGCTCTATTCTTGGGCTTCACTGACCGTCATCCCTTCTCACCACATGACCGCTGCCCAAGTCAACTTTTCTTAACAGTGAACACGATGATGTCTCTATTTCGCACAAATGAATATCAATTGCTGCTGGGCTTTTATGGGCTATGCATTTGATTCAGTGGACACTGATGCACTCATTTCTAAGCTCTGACAAGGCATGAATATGCAAAATATATTTGGATTTGTATATAGAAAGAACAGCTACACTGAGATAGCAGTCAGTCCCAAAATACAGGTCAGAAAAGGAGTCAGGCAATATGACACTCTCACTTAATGTTATTAAGAGCGACATTAGAATATATTTATACGTCTAATATAATGAATATTGTATGTCATTTCTGAGTGATATCTACAGCCACAATCTGCAACACCCTCCACACACATCCAGCAGATATCAGTTTCATTGCACAGCATGCATCAACATTTGGGATGCGTTTACATTTTTTTAAAATCTGTCATTGGATATTCGTTTTAAACGTTTCATTATTTAGCGGCAGCCACAGCTGACATGAGTGGCGCGCAACATCTGAACCGGTCCTGAGCGCCCTCTCTTCACCCACACCGACCACGAATGAGGAAATACAAGACGACACACAAGACTCAACCGAGTGGAACCGTCTTCACCCAGCACCGGGACTGACGATAGCTGTGCATTATGCACGTTATTATTATTATTACTACCATCGGTGTGTGCACACGTGTCGTCTCAACCTAAAATGAGAGTACCCGGTGCGATGTGTAGTAAATATCGTCACTCGGAAGACAAAGGCGGCCGGGCGTGGTGCTGGCCACCCACCCCTCCCTCGTGTGTCGTGCCGGCCTTCCATAAGTGCTACTCGCAAACGACAATTGCCCCCCAAAAGCCTGTTAAGGCTATCACTTTGTCTTTGGGTGTAAATGTGACATTTTGGTTTGCACAGTTACAGCACAAAGTGCTCAAAACTCGCAAGTTCAATCTTCAGGTAGGGCAGGGGTGGGCAAATTTTTAGACTCGCGGGCCACAATGGGTTCAAAAATTTGACAGCGGGGCCGGGCCAGGAACAGATGGATGGTCAAAGTGCGCCATCTAATGGGGAAATGGGGGCATTACAGGAGAAAGGTAAAATTTAATTTTATAATAATATTTGGGCAAGTTCGGCGGGCCGGATTAATAAGCCCAACGGGCCGTATACGGCCCGGGGGCCATACTTTGCCCATGTCTGAGGTAGGGGCTTGCTCAGCCTGCCATCAAAACTTTTCATAGGCAGGCAACAGTAGTCACCCCTATGGATAATCAGGTAGACGCCGTTGGTGTTTGATGAATTTCCACCATCGCCTCGGGGCCACGAGAGGATGCCACCACAAGCTGGCTGGTGAATGCCGGGGGGAGCGGGCGGGCGGGCACCGTCTTTGCTCGCACAAGCAAGCGTAGGTTGCTCTTTGGTTCATTCAGGTAAAGTCACGTAGAACACAAAATAAAATAACAATAGAATACGACGTTTCGGTTGCAGCACAAGCAACCATCATCAGGTAAGAATGAATGATAAGACACAGGGACGGACACAAGACAGGCAGACACACATGCACAGAGAGAGAGACACACACGCAGACACACCGAGCTTGACACAAACACGGAAACAACATAGGCACAGACGCACATACATGTGTGTGTCTCTTTCTGCGAAATATGTCTGGGTTTGGTCATTTACAGTCAGCACACATCATTTGGTTGTGCACAGTTTTGTGAAGCTGATGAAAACCCCCTAGGTAGCTGTCAATATTTTTGTGAACAATGAAATGAGCAAAACACAGATGTTTAACGGATGTTAACTGTTTTGTAAATACATTATAATTCTTTCTCTGGCAGACACTTAATTGGTTATAACTGATGAATCTCAAATGCTGTGGCTCTCTTGCAAGGAACACCTCCGCCATCTGCTGGGGAAACGGTATTCATCAAGCAAGTTTGAAACTAGAATGTTGGCAAATAACCTACATTTGCAAAGTAATTCCTGTACTCCAATTGCACTTCGTTGTGTTTTTTTTTACAAGCCGGTGTTTTGTAGGTTATTTAATTTAGCTTAAGCACGTGGTAAACACAAAATGTGTATATCTAGATGTAAAGATTACCTGTGGCTTCCGGTTGCCGAACAAATACATTATCAGGTCGCACACTCATCACACACAAAGTGCTTACCACAAATGAACCACAATACCTTGCTGATCCTGTTAAGCAGCATAAACCATCATGCGAACTCCGGTCATCTTCACAGGGGATTTTGGCTAACCGTCGGACAAAGACGGTCACTGCATTGCGCACATTCAGATGCCCTTCTGCAGGCTGTCTGGAACGTTCTTCCTTCCCATATTAGGAAGCCACTGGAGCTATATACTTGTCAATCTAGATTGAAAACTCATTTCTTTAGAACCGCTTTTTGTGTTTCGCTTGTTGTCCTTCCCCCACACCTCCGATTAGCATGGTTGGCTACGTACGGTGCAAAAGAAATTCAACATACGTGCATCAGGTGTATGCAGCAGCAGCGGCCAGAAAATTAGATTTGTCTACCAGTAAGGGGAGGGGGGAGCAATGTTGCTCCCTGGTCTTAATTTCCCCTACTAGGTCATCTTGCAGCAGATAGAAATTAGGCAAATCCCCAGGAATTGTGAAATGTTTGTGAAACTGAACCGTGACTCCCCATGGGAACTGACCCAGCCCTGGGGTGGGTGTGCCGAGCAGCACTCACTGTATCTCTTACCTGATGTAGCCAACCTGTGGGCGGTGTGCCAGGTGCCAGCGGTACGATGTCTTGTCCTTCCATCCCACGTTGCGCGGGTCCTTCCACAGCAGTGTGACCTGGTCGCCCGTGTCGCCCGTGTTCCAGAGTGCGTTTCGGAGCCGCTCGCCGGGCCCCGTCTTGGACTTGACGGCCTTTTTAGCAACCACATTAGGGTTTCACTAGATGAGGTGCGAGGCAAACTGAGCGTCAACGTGGAAACCAAATTGTAATTGCTGCAAGGGTGCATACAAACTGTGGGGGTACAATTTAGAAAATTAGGTCACTCTTCAGTCATACTCTTAATAAAACGAATATACATTTTCTCTATGAAAATACGTTCAGTAAAAACTTTCATTTACAAATCGCGTTGCAATTAAATGCAAATGAGTGTTGATAGTAATAAACAAATGAAGTACACTGTTTGCTCGGGTAGTATTCTTTCAAATACACTTTTATATTGTGAATCACAAACTCACCACTGTTGGCATCTACTTCCCAACATTGAGTAGATTCCTATCTATACAGGTGCCCTTTAGCTTGATTGACCGTTAAAGACACCATGAAGCAGGACAAGAAACAAGTCAGAAGAAGGGACACGTGAACGTATGGCAATGAGACAATCTATAAAACTTGCCTGTCCTTGAACCAGCAATTTGAGACGTGAGCTAGCAAGCCACTGGACCTATGCACTTTTAAATCTAGCTTGAAAACTAATTTCTCTAAACACCTGTTTGTCTTTAGTTTGTTGTCCTTCCCCCCGCACCTCCGATTAGCACGGTTGACTACGTACGGTGCCAACGAAGTTCAACGTACGTACGTACATACATGCATGTGGACACCAGCGAGAGCGTCCACACGTTTTGGTCATGGTCGAGATCTCGTCGTTGCGGCGAAATGTTCCATCCTTTAGGACGTGGTCACCTTCAGTTGCAGGCCCGGCTCAGCCACGGCGCGGAAGGGCGTCGCTTGCCAGTAGGTCTGCTCCGTCTGCTTCCACATGATGACGTAGAAGCTGGCGCTGTCCTGGTAGCCAAAGATGAAGCCGGCGTAGTCATCGTCCGTCACAGTGTTGACGTGAAAGGTTCCCTCAAAGTCCACGCCGTTGAAAGCCGTGTAGCCTGCGCGGATGTGTGAACATGATGCATTATCTCAACAGAAAGTTTATAATTTCGTTATATATTTTCCCCTGATGTGCTCATTAGCATCGACATTTGACTAGAAGTTGTGCTTCGATTGCATCATGCCATTACTGGTTCCTTAAGCGATGCATTTTTAATAACGTTGTTTGTGTATTCTCTGTATTTATTGCTATTCCGCCACGTATTTTTTGTTTATGCAGTTATTTTCAACAACGAGTTGTAAAATTAAACTTTCCGTTATAAAAGTTGCCGTAACTTTAATTCTTCATGATTGTGCATGATTGTGTCAGATGAGGAATGCACGACAATAAGCACCAGTCCTTGCATGAATACAAATCAGAGCTGCATTTACAATGGCAGGTGAATGTGCAGCCCAACAATTACTCTTAAAGGTGCACGCCACTGCTGGTGGAAGGGCCTCCACTCAAATTGAGCTGTAGAGGCTGCACTGGCCTATTCTTTCAAGCTGGCCGTATGTCTTGGAAGAGGTGGGAGCCCCTACACGCTGGCCTACGGCAGCTTCTCTATGGTGTTCAAAAGTAAATCTGTGTTATGATAGAGCCATCTTTTGTTGTTTGCCGTCCTGGCCTGCCATCCTGTCTGTAACAGTTTTCCTCCAAAATGAAGTAAATTGGACAATATGTGAATGTTGATAACACAGTTAAACACTATTTTTGTGAAATGTTAACTGAAAACCTTCATCAAGTTATTCCCACAGCAGGAAGAGTATGTCAACAATGTTTGATCTGAACACAATGATCCAGCAAGTTTAATCTACACCAGGGTCTCTAGGCAGTGAGTAAACCAAGCACTGCTCAGTGATACACCATCAAAGATTTTAGCCATCAGTGAGAGTGATCAGCACTGTAGAAATATCCAAATTTTTACCCGTAACTGAAAATTTCTAATGAAAATCAATGCAACCCAATTCTCACGACAGCATGAGGAGACTTTGAAGATTTTATTTTATATTATCCCAAGCAAGCAATTTCAGTTTAAAATGAAATTTTCATGGACTCCATTGTCTGAACCGCCCCTACCGGATACCTGTGAAAAAAAAAGAGCTTCATAGCTCATCAGATTCCTCCGGTATAAATGAAAGACACTGATTGTGTCTGATAAAATAGGGCATTAATATTTCTAATGGATGAGAGTGTGAGGAGTTATTCAAACTTCAACCAAGGTGGGTTACACTCACCTACTGCAAGGCCCGGGTCACTGTTTACAGTCTGTACAATTTCCATGCCCTGCAGTCACACACAGCAAAGTATGCCTCGTATATATCTTAAACCCTGCGAGTCCACACACATTTACAACTAGATGATATTGTTTTGACAACATCTAATCTAGAGGGATAGCTGACCTACGGATGTATGTGTGTGCATGTGCACCTGTACCAGAACGCAAATACTTGATGGAGAGCTTGGAGGCTTGTGATTTTTACCTGTGCACATGGCATATATAATAGTGTGTATGCCTATTGTATACATGCCCTACATATCTGTATCTAAACAGGGCAACTGCTGTAACCTGCGGAAGTGCAAATTAGCCTTGACATGGATACTTTTAAAGGTACATGTCCTTTTTAAAATAGTTTTATGCACCTGGATTATATAATTGTAGCTGCACACAATAAGATATGTGTATTATACATTCGGCATATAATAGTCCACTCTTGGCTAATTCGCCAGGCGGTGGTGGTGCACGTTTGTAATCCAGCACTATGGAGGCGAGTTTTAGTGGATCACACAAACGTCTTGAAATTCCCTTCCTGTGGGCATCGACGTGCTATACCCTTGTTCGCCGGGAGATGGCAGTATAATAATAGATTCATATTCTTGGTTCTTTCGGTAAAGTCACGTAGAAGGGGAACAATAAATTATGTATTATTTGATTGTTTCCCGTCTACGTAACTTTGCCGAAAGAACCAAGAATAGGAATCCCTGCAGTCACGGAAGCTTTAAATCAAAATAGATTGATCTCCATCTGTCTTCAACGAAAACTAAACTATTCATTTGACCAGGTAAGGCCCACCGATCTATAACGCTCTTTTTCAGAAGCGACCTGGCCACAAATGACAGCTCAACGAAGTGGCTTATCACGTGCAAATGTATAGTAGCCAAATGCTCTAAATGGATGTTTCTAAATGTGGAATTAAAAACCGGAGGAACCGGAGAAAAGTAAACACGACCACGAGGAGAGAGAGATGTCCAAACTCCAAATATTCATCAGGCGTCAGGGTTGGGATCAAACCCACGACCTCCCGTATACCAGGCGAGGTAGTTAACATCTCCTAGCCACCGTGATGATGATGAGAGAGAGAGACACGCAAACCCTAAATATACAGCAGGCGTCAGGGTTGGAATCAAACCCACGACCTCCTGTATACCAGGCGAGGTAGTTAACATCTCCTAGCCACCGTGATGATGATGAGAGAGAGAGACACGCAAACCCCAAATATACAGCAGGCGTCAGGGTTGGGATCAAACCCACGACCTCCCGTATACCAGGCGAGGTAGTTAACATCTCCTAGCCACCGTGATGATGATGAGAGAGACACGCAAACCCCAAATATACAGCAGGCGTCAGGGTTGGGATCAAACCCACGACCTCCTGTATACCAGGCGAGGTAGTTAACATCTCCTAGCCACCGTGATGATGAGAGAGAGACACGCAAACCCCAAATATACAGCAGGCGTCAGGGTTGGGATCAAACCCACGACCTCCTGTATACCTGGCGAGATAGTTAACATCTCCTAGCCACCGTGATGATGATGAGAGAGAGAGAGAAACGCAAACCCCAAATATACAGCAGGCGTCAGGGTTGGGATCAAACCCACGACCTCCTGTATACCTGGCGAGGTAGTTAACATCTCCTAGCCACCGTGATGATGATGAGAGAGAGAGACACTCAAACCCCAATTATACAGCAGGCGTCAGGGTTGGGATCAAACCCACGACCTCCTGTATACCAGGCGAGGTAGTTAACATCTCCTAGCCACCGTGGCGCCCCGCCTCGCACGCGTGGATTTCCTCCGGATTTCTCCCACGTGTATAGTCACTGGTTAATGGAGTTGGCAAAAACCATCCAGATTTAGGGCCACAGACCTTGGCAATTGTTGGCGTCGGTCCTGGCTGCCTTCCCAGAGGTCTGTGGTTTCCCATGCCTCTGACTCGATGGAAAAGTGTGCGCATTACAAATTCATAACTTCGACTCTTCAATGAATTGTCGTGGTTCTGAGTCACGATTCGATCAATAATAAATTATTCGTCTTGCTTTTTACTGTTTTCATTTGTTCTGTCTTGTCTGTTCTGTCCTATTGAATGTGTATGGCAAAATGTATACGAGTGTGTAATTAGCATACGTCATCAATTATCCATAAGATGCACGATTTGATTGCATCTTGTGTATTAAAAAAAACAATCTTGATCGACAAATCGTGTTCACATGTCAAATACATTTGCACCTGCGCATGTCCGCTACTGTGCATATATATTAGCAGCTGCATCTACAAAAGATAAACGTAACAGGTCTCCGCATCTGCACACCCCCACCTGTACTCATTTACCTGCACACCACCATTCTCTGTACACATGCCTTGTGGACGATGCGTGGTGCATGCAGTTTGGATCTTTAGAGGGTGGGGAAGGGAGCGCCACCTGTGTGTGTACACTCGTGGCGAGCGGTAGCGCAATGGTTTGTGCGCTACACGAGTGACGATTATCTGAATCGGTCCTGGGCCTCCCCTAGGTCGACTCAGCCTGAAATGAGTACCTGGTGCGATGTGTAAACATCGCCACCTCGTGTGCTGTGCCGGCCTTCATAGGTGCTACTCGCTAACGGCACTTGCCCCAACAGTCTGTGAAGGGGGGGGGGTGGGGGGGGGGTGGGGGATCTTCGTCATTGCACACTTGTGGAACATGCGTGGCGTATATGACGTTTGCATCGGAGGGTGGGCACGGGAGGGAGTGCCACCTGGTTGAGGACGACCCAGTTGGGGTCGATCTGCGCGTCCCCCTCGGGGTCCAGCACCACCGTCTGGTAGGCACGGAAGTCGGTGAGCGTGATCTCGGCGTTCTCGGGGCAAACGTCGATGCGGTCGATGACCGAGTCGTTGTCAAAGTCGCTCTCGCATACGTCGCCCACGCCGTCGCCTGCAGACAGGAGGCACACGCGCGCGCTCTTAAGCAAGCGGTCAGTGAGCGGCTCTGCGCTTGCTTGCTCGTGTCACTGCTGGCGGGAGGGCCTCCCCGAGAAGGAGCTCTGGATGGCACCGCTCGAGGGCGTTTGGCTTAATCTCCCACGCTCGCCTGAAATCTTGCCGGAGGTGGCAGTACCCACACTCTACGCCCCACTGCACGTGCCCTGCCAATGTACCCATTTGTACTGCTGGGTCGAAAGTGGCGGGAGGATTCGAGGAACATGCCCTCTGGATGATCGAACTGACCGTGGTGGTGAGATGTTAACTTCCTCGTCTGGTATACCGGACATCAAGGGTTCGATCCTGGCCCTGACATCTGTATATTTGGAGTTTACATGTTCTATCCACGGTCGCTTGGATTTTTCTCCAGGTCCTCCGGATTTCCCCCCCCCCCCCACATTTGGCTGTTATATATTTCCAGATGATGACCCACTTCGTTGAGCTATCATTTGTGGCCAGGTCGCTTCTGAACAAGAGCTATATAGCTCAGTGGACCTTATCTGGTAAAATAAAAATAAGTTCCAGGAAAAGAAAGATAGTTTATAGTTTTATAGTCATTACCTGCTCCAATGAGTGTGAGACAATCAGTTTGTGGCCCTGAGCCAATGGCATAAATCCCACATTCCTATGGTAGGCCCAGTCTTCCCATATGATAACCTTTATTGACTTCCCACAAAATGGTATCATTGTTCATCATTAGACCTCCTTTGCCAGTACCAAAATATAACAATAAGGTTTTTCCCCTTTTTTCTGGCAACAAAACTGAAACCTTTTTACAAGGATTCATGTCTGCATTAACCACAATACCTGCAGTCAAAATGCAAACAAAAAACATACTATGATAATATATGCATTGTCCTTGAAACTGATTGGTCCACACGATTTTGTTCAGTGATCAAAACGCAGCGCCATCTAGACTTGGCCAATTAGTGGTGAAATAGCAATAGAGTATTTCCAATTTTCTTTAATATTGATCAACTACGTAAGTGTTCCAACATATTTGGCTTGTAGCAACTTGTTTGATATTGTGGGAAATTAGTTTTAGCAGCATGTTAATTGCTGAAATATATATTGCTCAACATTTTACAGAAATGCACAAATGCTGAGCCGTAGAGAGGTGGCATAGTTGCACAGAAGAGCCACTGCTACATTTCTATAGAGGGTCACAAATGCAGATAAATCCGAACAATCTCATCTACTCACACCAACAGCAGTGGTTGGAAAAAATACATCTTGCCTCAGGATTTAAATTGTGCTCAAATAAGCTTTGTTCACTTATTGCGTCTTTTGCAGAATAAGCAATCACAGCTGGTCTGATGGCTTTTTATATTTTTAAGTCAACTTTGTATCCTTTTTGTTAAGGAGATGTAGGGGAAAGCAGGAGCATAGTGGACTGTGCACTATGTAACGAACTTGGCGACCTCAGTTCAATTTCTGGCAATGTCTAACATCGGTGTGATATCTGAATAGTTAAGGGCCCCCCCTTCGCCAGACCATGCTGTGCAGTGATGGGGTAATATCACCACACAAGCCCCACAACATGGAGCTCTACGTTAAAGTATTGGTGACCTCAATAAGTAGTAGTGGCTGATGACGTATCTCTACTGGCCAATTATGACCGAAAGATTCAACTAGCAACTGACAGATTAAACTTTGGTTCAACTTTCCATTTTCACCGAGTGACGGTATAGCATCACACAACGGTTGAAGGGGCCGGTGTGATTAACGATGACGTATTTTGTCAAATTTGGCTGGTCATCCTTCATTGCAATAATGCCTATTTAAAATAACATCATCTGTACAAATGTTATCGTGGCCGCCCGCCTCTGACAGATGGAGATGATTCATGTATTGACACTTTAAACCTTAGTTGGAAAGCGTTAAGAAGGGTTGTCCAAAACATATATTAAATAGCATATTAAGTACAAACTGATAATTTTTGAAATAACCAAACATATCTTTGCATATATTGGAATATATACGATTAGTCCACAAAAGAGTTAGAAATAAGCCCAACATTATACTTTAACGCTCATATAAAATTGTTTTCACAATGTTTTAGCTGCCCTTTGTAAGCTGCTGTGAATGCATTTCGTAAAAAAAAAATCACTATTTTATTTGGACACTGGAAATATTTGTGGTTAGCAGACTCGTCAATCATCCAATTTACACAAATTCCATGCATTCAAATCTTCTATGGTTACCAACCTTGTGATTTTTACTGACAGACTGACAGTGCACTTTTGTGTTAAACATCACTTAAACGCATACATCATGACGCCACAATGATGTAACCGTAATTTGTGCTGACATCACAGATGTCAGTAACGCCATTACCACATTAGTAGCGGTGCACATATCTGCAGCTCAAAACGAGGAAATTGGCAATCCCTGTGGAGCTGGAGATAGGAGGAGGAGGAGGAGGGCCTGTAAAATAATTGATCTGCGCCCGGCTTTGGCTGCCCGTAGCCTTGGGTTTCATCCCACGACACCAAAGTCGACGTGTCGTTTCAAAGCCCGAAGCGCGTGCCGTTATTGTCCTCCTGATTGGGGTTGACGACGAGGCGGCAGTTGTCTGGGCCGGGCGGCAGGTAATCTGGGACGCCGTCGTTGTCATCGTCGTGGTCGCACTCGTCGCCCAGCCCGTCGTTGTCCGTGTCCAGCTGGGAGCTGTTGGGCACGCTGGGGCAGTTGTCCCGCGTGTCCTGGTGTCCGTCCCCGTCACTGTGGGCAGCGGCAGCAAAGTGGCGGTGAGCGCGCCGCGTCAGCGCATGTCCGCTGCTGCGTGTATGCTAGCAGCTGCATCTACAAAACAGATTGTAACGGCTTTGAGCGACTGCACACCCCGCACCTGTACGCCTGTACCAGCACACCTGGTGCTGTACACATGGCTTGTGGACGATACGTGGCGCATGGCGGTGTGGATACGAGGGTGGAGAAGGGAGCACCACCGTGTACACTCGAGGGCAGCGGTAGTGCCGCGGTTAGTGTGCTGCATCTACGAACCCGGTGACCAGGGTTCGATTCCTGCCCACGGTCAACACCGGTGATGATTATCCGAACCGGTCCTGCACCTCCCCTAGGTCGACTCAGCCTCAAATGAGTACTAGGCGTCCGGGCGTGGTGCTGACCACCTACATCCTCGTATGCCATGCCGACCTGCATAGGTGCTGCTCACGAACAGCACTTGCCCCAACAATCTGTAAAGGTTACACGGGGGACCTTTGTCCCCCTCCTGGCAGGCCATGCCCCACAGCACTAGCACGCACGTCAGAGCCTGACTCCAACTTACCGGGCTTCACCGTCATCATCACCATCATTATCCATCTACTGTTGAATACATTGCCTCCTCATGCTGTTGTCATCCCCGTGGGCCTGTGATGTTACATTTCATCGGATTCCTGCATAATCATCACGCAAACTCCGGTCATCCTAGCAGCGTTTTTTGGTGAACCATCGAACAAAGACACTGTATCGAGCACTTTAAGATGTCCTGCTGTGGCTGTCTGGAACGCTCTTCCTATCGATATTAGGAAGCCATTGGAACTATGCACTCTTAAATCTGGATTGAAAACCAATTTCTTTCAAACAGTTTTTTTGTGTTCAGTTTGTTGTCCTTTCCCCCGCAACTCAGATTAGCACGGCTGGCTACGTACGGTGAGAAAGAAGTTCCACATACCTCCACCCACCCTCCACCCCCGGTCATGTACATATACAGTAACAGATTGCGTCATTCTACATCTGGTGGTTGCCTTCTCAGGCACGTTTCCTCCTTTGGCTGCCATTCCACCATCAGTCCTGTCCATCGCCCATCATTCCTTGCAGTGCCGTGCCCTTCCTAGGCCCACTAACTTTTTTTAGTGCGGCTGGGGGGCCTTCATGTTTGATTCCAAACTCACAACAGCAATGTGATACGTATATCACGCTCTTCTGCGTCAAGACCTTACAAAGCACATTACCCTCTAACACTGCTGCTGCTCTGAATATTCTATTTATATTTTCATTGAATTCTACACTTGTTTCCTTTTCCAGTACATCAATTAGCCCCAGTATCTTGCTATATTAGAAAAAAAATGTTTTTGCTGGCTGGCTGGCTGCCTGGCAGGTTCCTGCGTCGCGCTGACGTCCACCCCCGGACATGTATCCCGCGCAAATGCATGGGCAGCGCTAGTATAACTTAAGATATATTTATATATATATCATAAGAAATCAGCAGTGGAAATTCCACTCTCATTATTCAGTTTTCCCTCTCTCTACAGAAGCTACGAGAGAGGGGTACTTAGACACTCTTGTGACCACACTAAACTGTTGAATCATTTTTATTTGATCAGGTAAGACCCACTGAGCTAAATAGCTCTTTTTCAGAAGCGACCTGGCCAGAAATGGTCGCTCAGCAAAGGGGCTTATCACGTGTGTAAATTCACACGTTTCTAATTGTGGAGGGAAAAACCTGAGGACACGGAGAAAAATCCACACAACCACAGGGAGAACATGTCAACTCCAAATATGCACACACAGCGCCAGTGTCATTGAATTCATCGAGTAGCACTGCTTGGCAACCGGTGTTTTTTGTGGTAAAGGATTACCTGTCTTGGTTGGTGTCGCAGATATCCCCAACCAGGTCACTGTCGCTGTCGGTCTGTGGCATGGGGAGGGGTAGAGTTTTGTGAGTTCAGGAGAGAGAAACGTGTTAGGGAGGACAGTATCATCACCACCATCAGTCTCTCTTGTCCAGTCATTGCCTGGATTGGTTATAGACGATATATATATAAAAAAAAAAACCTAATTTTATTTTACCAGGTAAGGCCCACTGAGCTATATAGCTCTTTTTCAGAAGCAACCTGGCCACAAACGATAGCCCAATGAAGCGGCTTATCACGTGGAAATTCACGTGTTTCTAAATGTGGAGGGAAAAACCGGAGGGCCCGGAGAAAAGTCCACATGACCACGGGAAGGACATGCAAACTCCAAATAGGCAGGCGTCAGGGTCAGAATCGAACCCACGACCTCCTGCATACCAGGCGAGGAGGTTAACATCTCTCCACCGTGCATTCATATCTCCCCATCTTCTGTCTCCATCACTCTCCAGTCCCACCCTCTCTTTTTGAAAGCCTCCACGACAACATCTCTCCACCTTTCCCTTGGCCCTGCCTCTTGGTTCCCCTTCCCTCCATCCCCAACTCTGAAGACCACAGAAGTGTAGACATTGCAGTTCTGCCAAACAGCTCGAATTGAACAGCTACCTCTTTAAAATGGCCCAATGCCGAGCTTGCTTCGTGCGCATGTCTAGGGCATCTGTTGAGACACCCTGCACACAGCAGTACAGATCTGTGTATTGACGCCGTAATGTATCCATTGTACCGTACACAAAACCGATGCGTAGAGCCCATCCTGCTGTGCGCACCTGAGTGGGGTTGCTGACTTCAGGGCAACTGTCACAGGCGTCCCCCACGCTGTCGCCATCACGGTCCGTTTGGAGAGGGTTGGGCACTTTGGGGCAGTTGTCCAGTATGTTTGGGATTCCTGCAGAAAGGGCAGAGCAAGTAAAATAAACCCCCCCCCCAAACAGAGAAGATGCATGTGTTCTCTCCATCCCCGATCCGCGTTCCAAAAGGCATGAGGGCCGTGGTGGAGAGAAAGCCGCATTTAACATGATGGATTTTTTGGTGTGGTCATTGGTGACTGCACTAAAAACCATCAACTTGCTTCACACTGGAACCCGGTGTGAGGCACAGGTGGCTTCCTGGAGTCAAACTCAGGCTCTCCACAGTGCTCTGACTGCTTGCCACCCGGCTGCATTCACAACATCCTCATATTATTTAATGAATATACTTGTTTAAGCAGAGATCATCAAACTCAATGAACATGAGGTGAATTTGACCTTGGGTGGATGGATACTCGCGGTTTCTACCCTCCACTTCAACGGCGTTCCCATATACACGTTGCCTCCCTGACACATTCGTCAAATCAGCACACTGCAGTGTGTAATGGTGCGCCAGGCTACCTTGTGTATTGGCAGCAATACAGAAAAGCTACGTGTTAGTGTAGCTCGTGGAACAGCAGAGCTGTGGTCGAAATTGAATTTTTTGCACTTTTTGTACGCAGCATGGACAGGTTATGCTTTTTCTGTAGGATTTTATTGTTTACGTATGTGATGTTTAGATTTGTGTACAATTAATTTTAGGTGTATCTTGTAATTTTATTGTTTGTTTCGATTTAACCCATTTATTAGGTAAATCCTAATAAATCCTAATAAATGAAACTGAAACTGAGGTGTTCTGTATGGGCCGACCGTCTCCATCGATGTCGTTGTCGCAGGCATCGCCCTCCCCGTTGCTGTCCGTGTCGCGCTGGTCGTTGTTGTTCACATTGGGGCAGTTGTCGCACGCATCGCCGAAAGAGTCCGTGTCGGAATTCTGCTGGTCCTTGTTCACTATGAGCCGGCAGTTGTCCTGTCAAGGGTTATTGAAGGAAAAGAGAAATGACTGTCAACTCATTGTCATCATCGTCATCATCATCATTTTCATTGTCATCTCCAAGTGTTCACATCAATCCGCACCTTCATACCAGTTCCCACCTTGGCCTGTCGCCATCGACTCCCGTCGGCAGCTCACCTATCTACACATTCACCTACGCTCTCACCGACTCACTAAAATGCTCCATCACCCACTCACCCGCTCACTCACCCAACGGCCCACCTACCCACCCACTCAGTCGCTCTCTCGTTCATGTTGTCCAGCCCAACTACTCACCTATCTACACACTCACCTACTCACTCACCGACTCACTTAAACGCTCCATCACCCACTCACACGCTCACTCACCCAGCGGCCCACCTACCCACCCACTCAGTCGCTCTCTCGTTCATGTTGTCCAGCCCAACTACTCACCTATCTATGCTCACCTACTCACTCACCTACTCACTTAAAATGTCCCATCACCCACTCACACGCTCACTCACCCAGTGACCCACCTACCCACCCGCTCACTCGCTCTCTCTCTACGTGGAACTCATTGCTGGTCGCTGTTCATGATTTTTCTAGAACGCTCAACTACCTCTGCAGAAATACACTCAAGACAAAAATATTCAGTAGCGCTTGCAGAGCATTTCCGCGGTGCCTTTTGCACTGTAAGAATGGCACTAACTACCAAATTGATGTGAACATTTATTTATTATTATTAAGTGTGACCGCACCTGCACATTCTTGATGCCATCGCCGTCCGCATCCTCATCGCACTGGTCTCCAAGTCCATCCCCATCTGCATCCTCCTGCCCCGAGTTGGGTGTGAACCTGCAGTTGTCCTGTGGGGAAAAATGCAGAACTGTGCATGAGCCATAAGACTTTGGAACTAAAGCCGTAGGCTGATGCACCAACATTCGACATGCGACGATTCATCCATTCGTCCTAGAGGCCGGCGGAAACTGAATTTCTGGTTTCGGCCCAAACCGAAACCAGACCGAAAGTTAAAAATTCACTTTCGGCCGAGACCGAAACAGGAAGGTATATAGCCGAAGTTACCGAACACAAGATTTATTAAATATGTCATGATGCAATGCTACTTTAATTAAAAATAAATCTAGAACTAATCATTCAGAGCCTGCAGTAAGAGTCGCTAAATATCAAATCTTTAGGTGTTACTTACTTAGTAATTATATCCAAACAAAGGAATGTTGTAGTTAAGAAACAACAGTTTTTTCCGCATTCAGCCAGACAGACTGCCGTCTGTTCACTGGTCGTATATACATTAGGGGCCGTCCATAAATGACGTCACGCGATTTTGGACGATTTTTTATCCCCCCCCCTTCGTCACACGGCGTCACAAAAAGTCAGAACCCCCCTCAAATATGACGTCACAAAGCTCTGCCCCCCCCAAAAAAAATGCTTCAAATCGCTTTAAACTATTGTCATTGTAGTGCGTATTTAATGTGGCGCTGCACTCTGATGTTGTAGGAGAAAACATTTATTAAAAAGTATATTTAATTAAGTAGAACGTATTGTCTAAATTTATTTAAAGTTGCGCATTTTGATGTGACATCACATTTCTCAACCCCCCCCCCATGTCACACATCGTCACACATCGTCACAAATGTCTGACCCCCCCCCCCCCCCCAAGGTGCGTGACGTCATTTATGGATGGCCCCAGACCATAGTTGCGGCTGTAACCTCGCTCCCAAGCTGCTGCTGCTGACGTGTGTCTGTGTCTGTATGTATGAGAGTGTGTGTTAGTGGGGAGCGGTAGTGTAGCGGTTAGCGCGCTGCGCTATGAACCTGGCGACCCGGGTTCGATTCCCGCTCATGACCAACACCAGTGACGAGTATCTGAACCGGTCCCGGGCCTCCCCTATGTCGACTCAGCCTCAAATGAGTACCTGGTGTGGTGGATAAAAACATTGCCACTGGGGAGACAAAGGCGGTTGGGCGTGGTGCTGGCCACCCATCCCCTCGTGTACCGTTCCGGCCTTCATAGGTGCTCGCTAACAGCACTTTCCCCTACAGTCTGTTAAGGCTATACGGGGATCTTTGTCTTTATCTTTGTGTGTACGTGTGTGTGTGTTTGCAGCCTATCGCATAGGATTGCCTATCGCCGACTGACCGGCCGATAGGCAGAGTGATAGACGTAACACTAGCGGTATATTCTAAAAATAGATCTTCAGTTGACGAATGACCGAAAGTCAATATCAGTTTCGACCGAAACCGAAACCAGACGGAAAGTTAAAAAATGACTTTTGACCGAAACCGAATGTATGCCGAAAGTGGCCATTTTCCAACTTTCGGCGCCGAAACCGAAACCGAATTTCGGTCGGCCTCTCATTCGTCCATTAAGATCCATACTGACTCTCACAATACGTGCATCAAATCGTATATTTTGGTATATGTAATTGGTTCACATGACAACTGCATTTACCAGATGTGCAACATTGATGAAAATGTTAGAAACAAAGAATTTTTAAATCAAACTGCGATCCTGAATAGTGAAAGTTCATCGAATTTTGAGGAGGCAGGAGGCAAACTGTCTTACTACTTAAAACATGAATATGTAATTTCATTATAACATGGACATATGGACTCCATTATTCCCCCAAATCCACCATGAGAGAGCAAAATAAATGTTTTACAATGTTGCTGTACTTTGCTGGATGGGCCTCATGGTGTGTTCACAGAGAGGTATTGCCGAACATTTCAGGAAAACCAGGGCCCCATTTGTTTAACAGGCCATGCTCTGCTGATGAGACTCAGAAAGTTTAGACCAGACCAGGGTTTTCCTGCTTAAACAAATGTTACAGGCAAACAATGTTCTAGATGACACGTAGGTGAATGGACAAACAGGTATTTCCTTACTGATGAGACAGTCTCCTGCCTATTTATAATTGCATTCAAATCAGCACCACATAAAATATTCGGCATAAAAAGGTTTCAACCCTGCAGTGATTTGATGAATTGTCTCAATCTGGCTGTGCGCTTTTATTCAAAATTCAATTCTCAATTCTGTCTCACATTTTCTATTGCGTTTGCTTTGTTTCCAGTTTATTCTGTCTCAATTATACTGTCATTTACTCCAAGAGCCTAAATGTAACTTGAGCATTTAATTTGCATATAGCGCACACAAATCATAAACATTACATTTCGCAGGCACCACTTGATGCAGCGTGAGCACAAGAATAAATTTTAATCAATGCATTGATGCACCAAAATCATCCACCAAAATGAAATGTATCATACAGGAGGAAGAACAGAGGAGAAACGGAGAGCTAACAGCTGTATGTATAGACATGGCAGCTATTTTGGAGAAAGAATACAACTTGTAGAAAGTTCCAGTGTGCCTGGCTGCAACATTCCTCATCCTTACCTTGCCACATTTCACATGGAAACAGTGGGAGGCTCAACGCACATGGACAAAGTAGCCGAGACACAACAGAGATAGACAGACACAAAGACAAATACCCTCCCATATAGCCTTCAACAGACTGTTGGGGCAAGTGTCGTTAGCGATAACCTATTAAGGCCGGCACGGCGCACAAGGGGGTGGGTGGCTAGTACCACACCCGGCCGACTTTGTCTCCCCAGTGGCGATGTTTACACATCGCACCAGGTCCTAATTTTAGGCTGAGTTGACCTGCGGGGGGCCAGAACTGGTTCAAATATTCACCACTGTTTTTGTTCGTGAAGTGGGAGTAAAACTAGGGTTACCAGTTTCGTCGCGCAGCGTGCTAACCACTGCACCACAGTTGCCCACAGACACAACACGGTTAGACACAGACAAAACAGGGCTTCTGCAAAACCTATTTTTGAGAGCATTTGGCTGCTATAAATTTGCACGTGATATGCTACTTCAATGAACTGTCATTTGTGGCCAGGTCACTTTTGAAAAAGAGCTATATAGCTCAGTGGGCCTTACCTGGTAAAATAAAAAAAAAATTTCACAGTTTATGATAATAGGTTTTTACCCTTTTATCTGGCAACAAAACTGACACCTTTTAACAAGGGATCATGTTTACATTAACCACAATACCTGCAGTCAAAATGCAAACAAAAAACGCACTGATAATGTATTGGCACTGTCCTTGAAATTTATTGGTCCACACCAGAGACAGCTTTCGTTAGAGCCCAGTCTCATTTGGTGTTCGACTAGATGACGCCAAAAGGCGCACAACTTAAAGACAATGCACTATCAGAGTATTGAGGGCACGGGGTAAGCATTTACTTCATGAGACCTCCTTTGCCACTAGCAAAATATGATAATAGGTTTTACCCTTTTGCCAGATAAAAACCTGATTGAAAGCTTTCGTGACTGCAGTAATTCATATTCTTAGTTCTTTCGGTAAAGTCACGTTGAAGGAAAACAATAAAATAATTAAAAAAATATAAAACAATACAAATTCTCACGACGTTTCCCTTCAACGTGACTTTACCGAAAGAACTAAGAATAAGATAAAAACCTATTATCATATTTTGCTACTGGCAAAGGAGGTCTCATGAAGTTCACAGTTTAGTTGAGTTCTTGAGCCATGTGCTGAATTTGATGAGCTGATCACGAGCAGCCAAACAGGAATCGTATCCTGCAACATGGTTTCCAAACCTAACATTCTTGAAAAATATTCTTCCAGGGTAAAATGCAGACCCTATAAATCAGAACCTGTTGTGTACAGTATGGGAGCCAACTTCTAGTATTGTAGCCAGACGAAGTGTTCAGATGCATTGCAGGAATATGTCAAAGGCACAAGCAGAAAATAAGCCAGGCAAAATAGAAGATGATGCGAAAGATGGTGAATGAGAAGTCAGGGAAGGGACAAGGTTTGTGTGTAAAGTGTGTCTTTGAAAATTACCTTTAATGTAGGTATACGGGCACTTAGAAGGTGCTTGTGAGCAGTGGTGACCTCCGTAGATATAACATTCAGGCCCATATACAACAGCTGGTATTACTGGTGCAGTGATTGGGTAGCAGACATTGTCATGTGGCAGCAAATGACACTCAAGCTGCACTGCAGTCAACATACCTTGTGCAAGTGAAATGGGTGCATATGTTTAATAAATAAAAACCCAACATATTTGTCAATCACAGTGCACTTTGTATAAATTGCATTCAGTGGAATAATATGTAATAGTCCAAAGTCTCGGGCAATCGCACCTTCTTCATAGCAAGATGGACCAATGCCCGAGAGAAGGAGCATTGTATGAAATGTTGCCTATGAAATATATATTTCTTTTAAGGCAGTGTTGTTGATGAATGCGCCTTCAAATTGTTTGTTGTTACGTGTGCTTGTGCGCCACCGCCGATGCAGTCCCACCAAATAATTAGTTTTAGAATTGTTTGTTGGCAACCCTTTGCCAATCCACCGCTGGGTAAAGTCCGCGATGACGTCACAGCTCGTTTGACCACACTTCACCACGCTGGTCAGCGTCGCTGGTGCAGGGGGATCTAAGACTGCTTTAGATACCACTCGCCACTGATGTCGGCCATCATTTCCATCGTTACTGGGTATGCGGAGGCTATTGTTACAAGGAGCAGATGGCACGTGGCTTCTCATCAGCGATATTTCATTTCACGAGTGCAATAGGAGGCCTTGATGAGATGATCTTTTTATTCGTTAAACATTATTCTGAACACTATAACCCAGAAAAGTTTTGCAGGCTGGTTGGCACGCGGGCGGGCAAGTACTCGGTGGTGACGTCGCCCCGCACAAATCTGTGCGCTGACGTCACCACCACGCCTGCGCTCGTGCAAGTGGGCAGATCACAAGCACCGAGTCGCAGCCAGCGAGCAGTTTTCTCCGTAACGATGTCAAAACGCAGACCGCGATCTTTTCGCGAATAACCACGTTGATTCTAGATTTTTTTTTCACTCCAGCGCTGCCCTCCAGACAGTCTCGTCCCTTCACCTGATGAAGGCCGCTTGTGTTGTGGCCGAAACGTCGTGATTTTTTTTACCTACGTGACTTTACCCAATAGAACCAAAGAGTATAAGCACGTTGATTGCCGACTTCCCGAGCACGTAGAGCGAAGGGTGCCCCAGTTGAGCCAATGACACATGCATGTGCAGGCTCTCCCAAGCAGCAGCGGGCAAAACAGGGGTGAGAAGCCCAAGAGCAGGCATCAGAGTGTGTATGGTGTCCAATGTGTTATGCGTTTTGGGGTGGGAGGGGGGGGGAAGATGCTTGTTGCCAAGGGGCCATATGTTAAGATGTGCAACAAGAATGCATTTCACATCGGAAGAAGGCACCCTCCTGACCGTTACACGTGTATCGCGGCTGTTTTGTTATGAGAGGATTTTGCTCCATTAGTGCATTTAGAAGTTGCTCATGTTTATGATCAAAGGGCACTCTGGATAGATACGAAAGGGCAGCCAAAACGTGCGCTCGTTTTCATTTCAGCCCAACGGCCAGAACCTTAGGACGCAATGTTTTATGCACTTGGGTGTATCGGTTACGCGCTTCTTTGAAGTGCGCCATGTCAGAGCCAATTGTCCACATGGCATTTAAATGAACAAAGAGAAAACGTTCAAAGTGAAGAAGCAAAGGAAAAGAATGCAGCCGAAATGTCAACATTGTGTGCAACGTGTGGAGAAATTGCCGCTGTCAGTACTGCAGCGAGCAGGTGGAAACTCCGTTTATTCTGCGGCAAGGGGCCAACGTGGGACTGAACATTGGATGAGCAACCCCGTGGAGTGACTGATGATATTGTGGATGAAGTGCGGATGTTGCTGGATGAGAACCATCATGTAACATAGGATGGGGTTGCCAAAAAGTATCAATCATAAGACTCGCTCGGGCTCTTCTTGGGCTCGCCGCGATTTGAATGCAGTCCAACAACAGACTGTGCACTACTCAAATTACAGACTGCGCACTAACCGGTGGAGGAAAGGGGAATGTTTTTTTTTTCAAGAGTAATGTTACTAATTACGTAACATTAACTGAGGTGCGAGCTGAAATTGAATTAACGATCAAAATAATAGATGTTTCCATCCAACAAGGTCTGGTAGAGGGCATTAACTAACATAATGATGACGATTAGTGTGCACAGCCTTTTTGTAAAATCCCCTACAGGATGAGGGCCTCCTCAGCTTTTTATTTGGATGTCAGTTTACCCAGAGGAACCGATGAAACTGCCATTTATGTTACAGTTACCGAACATTAAGACAATATTCCAGGGCAGTAAACTCAGACGCTTGTACAAGCTCTGTTGTCGGAGGAATATGGTTGCATGCATTGTGTCTCGCTACCGCTGGTCGCTATCACGGTGACGAGATGTTTACTCCCTCGGCTGGTATGCAGGAGGTCGTGAGTTCGATCCCGACCCTGACGCCTGTATATTTGAAGTTTGCATGTTCTCCCCGTGGTCACGTGGATTTTTGTCCGGGTCCTCCGGTTTTTCCCTCCACATTTAGAAACATGTGTTTTGAGTTTCTATTTAAAGCTTTCGTGACGGCAGGGATTCATATTCTTGGTTCTTTCGGTAAAGTCACGTAGAAGGGAAATAATAAAATAATAAAAATATAAAACAATACAATTCTCACGACGTTTCGATTGCAACACAAACAGTCATCATCAGGTGTCACACCTGCAATCGAAACGTCGTGATAATTGTATTGTTTTATTTTTTTCTTATTTTATTATTTCCATTCTACGTGACATTACCGAAAGAACCAAGAATATGTGTAGAGTCTTTGGCTGCTGCACCACAGTTACCCAGACACAACACGGTTAGACACAGACACAACACGGTTAGACACAAACACAACACAGTTAGAAACAGACACAACACGGTTAGACACAGACACAACACAGTTAGACACAGACACAACACAGTTAGACACAGACACAACACGGTTAGACACAAACACAACACAGTTAGAAACAGACACAAACACGGTTAGACACAGACACAACACAGTTAGACACAGACACAACACAGTTAGACACAGACACAACACGGTTAGACACAGACACAACACAGTTAGACACAGACACAACACAGTTACCCACAGACACAACACGGTTAGACACAGACAAAACAGGGCTTCTGCAAAACCTATTTTTGAGAGTATTTGGCTGTTATAAATTTCCACGTGATAAGCCACTTCGTTGACCTGTCACTTCTAATAAAGAGCTATATAGCTCAGTAGGCCTTACCTGGTAAAATAGAAAAATAATTTAGTTTAGTTTTTAGTTCAATGTTTTGACTTGTCATTGACGATTTCAACCCTTCCCCTTATCATCAAGGGTCATTACAGAACAATATTTCTGCTTGTGCACAAACTGTGGGCAAGCATTCGAGCCAACGGCAGACAGGGCACGTTAAATGCCGTGCTCGTCACCAGGCACACAGGTTGCCCCTGTTCCCCGCTCACCTTGCGGCAGTGTTTGTCGTTGTCCGTGCAGGGCAGGGCCTCGTCTGGGTAGCCGTCGATGTCGGCATCCGTGCCGCACACGTAGCCGTTTCCAGCCCAGCCCACATTGCACTGCACGTCCAGGCAGAGCGCGGCAGTTCATAACCCTCAAGTACTACAGCAGCCGTATAACTCTACACTCTACTTGTGCTTGCGGGCACGCGCTGCGCTGCACGCACGGGCAGAGCACGGGGGGCATGCCCTCGAGTACAGCAGCTAGGGTTGGCAACTCTGACCGAAGCTATTCCAGGAGATGTTTTTTTTTCTTCCAGCACGACGTAATGTACGCATGTTGAACTTCTTTCGCACCGTACGTAGCCAACTGTACTAATCGGAGGTGCGGAGGAAGGTCAACAAACTAAACACAAAAGCAGTTCTAAAGAAATTAGTTTTCAATCTAGATTTTAAAGTGCATGGCTCCAGGGGATTCCTAATATTGTTCCAGATGGTCGCAGAAGCGCGTCTGAAAGCACGTGATTTGGTGACAGTCTTTGTTCAATAGCTAGCCAAGAGCCGCTGCAAGGATGACATTGAAGACTCCACCCTTCATACTATGCCATCACGCTGCCAAGGGAAAGAAAAACGCAATCAGATGACACCTTATAGTTTAACAATGAATGATTTTCTTTTCGAACGATGTGCTTTCATTATATGAATGTATTTTCTTAAAATATCCTATTCTAAATATCCTCCAGATTGCTTTGAGTCGTCACCGGGAGGGATCGATGCCAATTCCAGGAGACACTCCCAGCCAATCCGGGAGGTTTGGCAACTCCAACAGCAGTGGCCATGTGCTCTGCTGTCTACTTGTGCTTGCAGCACCAGTGCACTGCACGCACGGGTCTAGCGCCACACCCACGACTTCTATCCAGCACTGAGTCAGAGCTAACGGTGATGGTCCGGAGGAGTCTGAGGTGAGCACAATAATTAGCGTTGACCAATGACATTGGGGATAAGCAACAGGAGGGTTTGCAGGACTGCCACGGTCCACACTTTCTATACGGACGCTCCTGTAAGAGCCTCGTGCTGTTGCCAGTAAAGTCAGACAGATAGGACCACCCGTTCCACACGGCTCAGGCAGGCGGTCTAAAAATTGTGGTCTGCTCAGAATGTAAAGCCAAACAAAATGGGGGACATGCATTTTTTTTCGTGTGAGAAATATTGTACAAATTACTGTGAATGTATTACTTGCCCAAATAAAAATATGAAGTTCTGCTTGTAGCCAAATGTGGCATTCAAAAATTAAAACTCCCAACAATCCAGATGGAGGAAAGTTCAAAGCTGGTATTGGATATTCCAATTTTTCTTTGGATAAACTGAATAGTCAACACATATACATTTTTCTCGTTACAAGTAAGAACTTTGACTGCATCTGTGTCCCTGTGTGTGTGTGCGTCTGTGTGCATCCATGTGTACGTGTATTCGTGTGTGCGTGTGTACATGCGTCCGTGTGTGCGTACATCTGCATGTGCATCCGTGTGTTGTGTCCACGTGTGCATCCGTGCATGCGTGTGTGCGTCTGTGTGCATCTGCTTGTATTTGTGCATGCGTCGGTGTGTCCATGTGTGCGTGCGTCCATGTATGTTTGTGCATCTGTGTGTGCGTCCTTGTGTCCGTGTGCGTGCGTCCATGTACGTGCATTGGTGTGTCTGTGTGTCAATGCGTCAGTGTGTGTGTGCGTACGTCTGTGTGTGTGTGCGCGTCTGTGGCTGCGAGTTTGCCGCTCACGGTGCACGACACATCCCCGTTCCGCTCCACGTGGCACTGCGCGTTCAAGTCGCATGGGTTGAAGGCCCCGTTGTTGCAGGTGTTGCCGGGGTGGCAGCCCACATTCTGGTTTCCTGAGTACCCCGATTTGCACGGTCCACAGCGATAGGAGCCCTGCCACAACCACAACCAACATCCAACACCATTAACAAAACCAATACGGCCCTTCTCATTGTATTGCGGCATGATGGCGTTCCTTTGCCGTGCCCATCATCGGGGTTGTTTGACCATAGTCAAAGTAGATGATATCATTGCCCAGCAGACGTGGCAAGATCTGAAATCGCCACCATCCTCAAAAACGCTAAGAAACCCATTAGTAACATCAGCAGGGATGAGCGCTCTGAACTCGCTCAATTGAAAAAGAGAGATGACATTGTTATCCTTTCAGCCGACAAGGGCAATGCCACGATCATCATGGATAAAACCACATACAACAACAAAATCCAGGACCTTCTTAATGATGGCAGTTATACCAAAATCAACAAAGATACTACCAACCGCCTGGCTACAAAAACCAACAATATCATCGCTAATTCGACTTCTCTAATCAAACCGACCAAGCAGCTCTCTCTAAAACCTTCAGCTGCTAGATCACCCAGATTTTTGTGGCCTTCCAAAAAATAATAAAGAAGGTCCTCCACTCCGACCTATCGTTTCCACCATCAACTCACCTACCTACAAACTGGCCCGATTTCTATCTGAGACCCTGCTTCCATTCACGGGCAAGAACATTTCACTGTCTCCAGATGATTTGCTTGTCAGCTTCGATGTAGTCTCTCTGTTCACCAAGGTAACTATACCTGACACCATAGCAATCATTGAAGACTTGGTCCAACAGGGACTGAATCCTGATGTCCCAACCTTGGTGAGGCACTGCCTTAGTAGCGAGTAATTCATTACTGTTAGTAGCGAGTAATACCTTACCATTAGTAGTGAGTAATACCTTACCATTAGTAGCGAGTAATACCTTACTGTTAGTAGCGAGTAATGCCTTACCGTTAGTAGCGAGTAATACCTTACCGTTAGTAGCGAGTAATACCTTACCATTAGTAGCGAGTAATACCTTACCATGAGTAGCGAGTAATACCTTACCATTAGTAGTGAGTAATACCTTACCGTTAGTAGTGAGTAATACCTTACCATTAGTAGTAATACCTTACCATTAGTAGTGAGTAATACCTTACCGTTAGTAGTGAGTAATACCTTACCGTTAGTAGTGAGTAATACCTTACCGTTAGTAGTGAGTAACACCTTACCATTAGTAGCGAGTAATACCTTACCATTAGTAGCGAGTAATACCTTACCATGAGTAGCGAGTAATACCTTACCATTAGTAGTGAGTAATACCTTACCGCTAGTAGTGAGTAATACCTTACCATTAGTAGTAATACCTTACCGTTAGTAGTGAGTAATACCTTACCGTTAGTAGCGAGTAATACCTTACCATTAGTAGTGAGTAATACCTTACCATTAGTAGCGAGTAATACCTTACCATTAGTAGCGAGTAATACCTTACCATTAGTAGTGAGTAATACCTTACCATTAGTAGCGAGTAATACCTTACCATTAGTAGCGAGTAATACCTTACCATTAGTAGCGGGTAATACCTTACCATTAGTAGTGAGTAATACCTTACCATTAGTAGTGAGTAATACCTTACCATTAGTAGCGAGTAATACCTTACCATTAGTAGCGAGTAATACCTTACCATTAGCAGCGAGTAATACCTTACCATTAGTAGCGAGTAATACCTTACCATTAGTAGCGAGTAATACCTTACCATTAGTAGTAATACCTTACCATTAGTAGTGAGTAATACCTTACCATTAGTAGCGAGTAATACCTTACCATTAGTAGCGAGTAATACCTTACCATTAGTAGCGAGTAATACCTTACCATTAGTAGCGAGTAATACCTTACCATTAGTAGCGAGTAATACCTTACCATTAGTAGCGAGTAATACCTTACCATTAGTAGTGAGTAATACCTTACCATTAGTAGTGAGTAATACCTTACCGTTAGTAGTGAGTAATACCTTACCATTAGTAGCGAGTAATACCTTACCATTAGTAGTGAGTAATACCTTACCATTAGTAGCGAGTAATACCTTACCATTAGTAGCGAGTAATACCTTACCATTAGTAGCGAGTAATACCTTACCATTAGTAGTAATACCTTACCATTAGTAGTGAGTAATACCTTACCATTAGTAGCGAGTAATACCTTACCATTAGTAGCGAGTAATACCTTACCATTAGTAGCGAGTAATACCTTACCATTAGTAGCGAGTAATACCTTACCATTAGTAGCGAGTAATACCTTACCATTAGTAGCGAGTAATACCTTACCATTAGTAGCGAGTAATACCTTACCATTAGTAGTGAGTAATACCTTACCATTAGTAGTGAGTAATACCTTACCGTTAGTAGTGAGTAATACCTTACCATTAGTAGCGAGTAATACCTTACCATTAGTAGTGAGTAATACCTTACCATTAGTAGCGAGTAATACCTTACCATTAGTAGCGAGTAATACCTTACCATTAGTAGCGAGTAATACCTTACCATTAGTAGTGAGTAATACCTTACCATTAGTAGCGAGTAATACCTTACCATTAGTAGTGAGTAATACCTTACCATTAGTAGTGAGTAATACCTTACCATTAGTAGTGAGTAATACCTTACCATTAGTAGCGAGTAATACCTTACCATTAGTAGTGAGTAATACCTTACCGTTAGTAGCGAGTAATACCTTACCATGAGTAGTGAGTAATACCTTACCATGAGTAGCGAGTAATACCTTACCATTAGTAGTGAGTAATACCTTACCATGAGTAGCGAGTAATACCTTACCATTAGTAGTGAGTAATACCTTACCATTAGTAGTGAGCAATACCTTACCATTACTAGCGAGTAATACCTTATTGTTACTAGTGAGTAATACCTTACCATGAGTAGTGAGTAATACCTTACCATTAGTAGCGAGTAATACCTTACCGTTAGTAGCGAGTAATACCTTACCATGAGTAGTGAGTAATACCTTACCATTAGTAGCGAGTAATACCTTACCATTAGTAATGAGTAATACCTTACCATTAGTAGCGAGTAATACCTTACCATTAGTAGCGAGTAATACCTTACCACTAGTAGCGAGTAATACCTTACCATTAGTAGTGAGTAATACCTTACCATTAGTAGCGAGTAATACCTTACCGTTAGTAGCGAGTAATACCTTACCACTAGTAGCGAGTAATACCTTACCATTAGTAGTGAGTAATACCTTACCATTAGTAGCGAGTAATACCTTACCATTAGTAGCGAGTAATACCTTACCACTAGTAGCGAGTAATACCTTACCATTAGTAGTGAGTAATACCTTACCATTAGTAGCGAGTAATACCTTACCATTAGTAGCGAGTAATACCTTACCATTAGTAGTGAGTAATACCTTACCATTAGTAGCGAGTAATACCTTACCATTAGTAGTGAGTAATACCTTACCATTAGTAGTGAGTAATACCTTACCATTAGTAGTGAGTAATACCTTACCATTAGTAGCGAGTAATACCTTACCATTAGTAGTGAGTAATACCTTACCGTTAGTAGCGAGTAATACCTTACCATGAGTAGTGAGTAATACCTTACCATGAGTAGCGAGTAATACCTTACCATTAGTAGTGAGTAATACCTTACCATGAGTAGCGAGTAATACCTTACCATTAGTAGTGAGTAATACCTTACCATTAGTAGTGAGCAATACCTTACCATTACTAGCGAGTAATACCTTATTGTTACTAGTGAGTAATACCTTACCATGAGTAGTGAGTAATACCTTACCATTAGTAGCGAGTAATACCTTACCGTTAGTAGCGAGTAATACCTTACCATGAGTAGTGAGTAATACCTTACCATTAGTAGCGAGTAATACCTTACCATTAGTAATGAGTAATACCTTACCATTAGTAGCGAGTAATACCTTACCATTAGTAGCGAGTAATACCTTACCACTAGTAGCGAGTAATACCTTACCATTAGTAGTGAGTAATACCTTACCATTAGTAGCGAGTAATACCTTACCGTTAGTAGCGAGTAATACCTTACCACTAGTAGCGAGTAATACCTTACCATTAGTAGTGAGTAATACCTTACCATTAGTAGCGAGTAATACCTTACCATTAGTAGCGAGTAATACCTTACCACTAGTAGCGAGTAATACCTTACCATTAGTAGTGAGTAATACCTTACCATTAGTAGCGAGTAATACCTTACCATTAGTAGCGAGTAATACCTTACCATTAGTAATGAGTAATACCTTACCATTAGTAGCGAGTAATACCTTACCATTAGTAGCGAGTAATACCTTACCACTAGTAGCGAGTAATACCTTACCATTAGTAGTGAGTAATACCTTACCATTAGTAGCGAGTAATACCTTACCGTTAGTAGCGAGTAATACCATCTCGCCGTCCGAACTTTTTACCAACCCGCACTGACCACTTAAGGATCATCAAACACCGTCCATGACTGGCACTGCATGGGGCCGCCTTCTCCAGAAGTCAATTGACAAAGGGCTGTAAATTATTATTATTATTTTATCACCGTCAAAAATAATACATCATTTTTTTTTTACAATATAACTAAAATCATTTCCAATTTGTTCTAAATAGCAAATAAAAAAATAAAAAAATATTAAAGTAACGAGAAAAACTTACCATGATGTTCACACAGATGGAGTTGAGGACGCAGCCGCCATTTTTCCCATCTTGACACTCATCAACGTCTGTACACACCTGTGGTAAGACGCAATGCTCAATCGCAATCTATCGGTCTACCCAAACACAATGCGTATGTACCTGTACTCGCAAACAGGCAATTATAAATCAGTACAAATGACACGTGGACTGGAGAGCATGTTGATAAAAGTAAGCAGGGCTTGGGCAAGACATGTGGCTATACCGGATGATGGCTGGTGGTCAAGACTAACAACAGAGTGGTAGTCAAAGGAGGGAGAGAGCATGCCCGATGCCACGTCCACTGCAGAGGTGCAGCGATGCAATCGCCTCGTGTACAGATGTTAGATGGATTGTTGCATCGCCTACATCCAGCAGTGGATAGATCACGGTTGCTGATGAGGAATGATTAATACAAAATTATGAACCGACGACATATTAGGTCCAGTGTTTATGAAGTAAGCTGATGCTATAACTGCAGAGCATTTCACATGCATACGAGTTTCCATCAGCCAATGGCAGGGCAGTATGCAGAGGCCTTTCACGACTCACAGATGAGACCTGGAACATATATGTTCCAATTTGTAGATAGCTTGAGATCACCACGCAGCCTTTGCTCTAGTTTATAATGGATATTGTTGGTGTCTATTCATTAAACTCACTACATTACAAAACCTAGTTGAGCATCTGGTGGGTGCCTGTGCATTAGATGCAGTGTCTCATTGGTGCTAGCTGAGTGATCTGACATAGACCAGCATGAGGCCTCTCAGCTATGGCCTGGTTCTGTTCACAGTTCCTAGGGATGTTTATTTTTGTAAACATGCGAAACCAACAAGGAAAACGACACTCAGTGAACGTAATGAACGCTCTGAACTCGCGAATTTAAAAAAACAGAAGTGATATAGTCATCCTCTCAGCCGATAAAGGCAACGCTACTGTTATTATGGATAAAGATTCATACAACAACAAAATCCAGAATCTGCTCAACGATGGAAGTTACTCAAAAATAAAAAAATGACCCTACTAATAGCCTAGCGATAAAAAACCAACAAGATCATCACAAGTTCGACCTCCCTAATCGACCCAACTAAACGTCCCTCCCTAAAACCTTCTGCTGCAAGACCCCCTAGATTCTATGGTCTTCCCAAGATTCATAAAGATGGCACCCCACTACGACCCATCGTATCCACGATCAACTCCCCTACCTATAGACTAGCCCGTTTTCTGTCAGATACCTTGCTGCCTTTCACTGGCAAGACCGCCTCAGCAGTACTCAACTCAGCCCAATTGGTCTCTATGGTCAAAGACGTTGTACTGTCCCCTGACAATATCCTTGTCAGCTTCGATGTGGTCTCTTTGTTCACCAAGGTCCCAGTACCTGATACCATTGAAATAATTGAAAATTTGGTCCAACATGGACTAGACCGCGACACACCTCCACTGGTTAGGCACTGCCTCAACAATACCTACTTTACTTGGAATGGCTCCTTCTACAAACAAAATGAGGGTACCCCCATGGGATCCCCCTTATCACCAGTGATAGCCAATATTTTCATGGAGAAATTTGAATCAGACGCTATCCAGACTTCCACCCTCAGACCTTCCCTGTGGAAGAGATATGTGGATGACACTTTCGTCATTTGGCCACATGGCCTCCCAGCTCTGAACCTTTTCCTACACCACATCAATTCCAGACATCCCGCATCAAATTCACCATGGAAGTGGAGAAAGATGGCAAGCTACCATTCTTAGATGTTCTGTTTGAGAGGAGACCTGATGGCTCATTGGGGCATTCTGTCTACAGGAAACCCACCCACATAGATTCCTACTTGAAACCTGATTCCCACCACCACCCAGCCCAAAAGAATTCTCTCATCAAAACTTTATACCATAGGGCTCATTGCATTTCGGACCAACACCACCTGACCAGTGAATTAAAACATATACACCTGGCCCTCAAAAGGAATGGTTACTCTGACCGTACCATCCGCCAAGCTGTCTCTCCCTCCATACAGAAACAACCACTTGATACTCCGGTGAAAACCATCACACTTCCATATATAGCAGGCGTTACTAAAAATATTTCCAAAATTCTAAACAAACACAAGATCCAGGTCCGGTTCAATACAGTACACAAAATTCGTGATCTGATCCCATCCGTGAAGGATGTCATTCCTGATTTACAGTACCCCGGGGTTTACAAATTGAGTTGTACCTGCGGTGATTGCTACATCGGTGAGACAAAGCGACATGTCTCTGACCGAATTCGCGAGCACAAATCATATTTGAAACACGGCAAAAGAATTATTCTGCCGTGGCTGATCACTGTTACAACGCTGTGGGGGATCACGATATAATTTTCTCCGATACCAAGGTTCTTTGCAAACCCACGGGCTTTTATCAGAGATTTGTTCATGAAGCAATTCAGATCTACAAACACAGACACAATTTCAACCGAGAGGATGGTTTCAAATTAAGCAACCATTGGAAAGATGTTCTAAATCGAACTAAACATTAAACTAATTTCAATGGTACAGTATATTTTTCAAGTAGTGGTACCCCAAACTTTCGCAGCTCTTATAAATTCCCCCTTTTCACACCATCAATAGGTAAACTCCCCCCTCCCCCCTCCCCCCCCCCCCCCCCCGCGCCAAACTGCGAGTCCACCGGCACGTACACCACCTCTTTCCTAAAATCCGCCAATCAAATGCTCATTTTTATGCTAATTTCTTTGTCAGAACACCTTGTTTGCTCGCACACAGGTCCGATGTCTGAGCGTGGTTGTGTTTCGCTAAATTCTCCTGTTTGATTTGTACTAGGTGCCTCGGTGAATGTATATGCTCTAACTTTAACATAGCTATTTCTGTGACCAGTTACAAGCTAATCACTCAGCTATTTCATTGCTAAATTCGATGCTAATTCCTTTGTCAAGGGGTACCTCTGCGGATGTGTATACTTTAACTTAGCTATTTCAATGAGCCATTTCAATGCTAAATTATATGCTAATTCCTTTGTCAAGGCGCGTGGTCTTTTTCTTCTCATACAGCTTAAAGGTCGTGATCTAAGCGTGGCTTCTTCCACTCCAGCGCTAATTCCTTTGTCAAGGGGTACCTCTGTGGATGTCTATACTTTAACTTAGCTATTTCAATGAGCCATTTCAATGCTAAATTATATGCTAATTCCTTTGTCAAGGCGCGTGGTCTTTTTCTTCTCACACAGCTTAAAGGTCGTGATCTAAGCGTGGCTTCTTCCACTCCAGCGCTGTCCTCCAGACAGTCTCGTCCCTTCACCTGATGAAGGCCGCTTGTGTTGTGGCCGAAACGTCGTGATTTTTTGTTATTTTATTTGCACCTACGTGACTTTACCCAATAGAACCAAAGAGTATGGATCCTAGCAGTCACGAAAGCTTTAAATCTAGAATAGGTGGAGAGGAATTAAAATAAGTCTACTTTGCAAAGTTGACAAAATATGAGTTACTTAAGTTACGCTTTTAATTTAAACTACAGTCATTGATTTAAAAAAAAAGATTCACAAGCGATGCTGTTAACTTGTTTGAAAAGCATTTAATATGCAAGACGAATGTGGCATGTATAACCTCTGAAAGGATTATTTAATTATAAACAGAGCCTCTCCAAATTGAAATACAGTACTTACAAAATAAGTAAATATTGGGGCTCTGTCGTCCCGACAGTTTTTTGTTCCTTCACCTGAAGAAGGCCGCTTGTGTTGTGGCCAAAACGTCGTGAGAATTTTATTGTTTTATCTTATTATTTTATTCTCATTCTACGTGACTTTACCGAAAGAACCAAAGAAGATTAAAAACGAGGATGGCATTATTTTGAATAACTGTCAAACAATAACATATACACTTTGGTTCAAGAATGACCAAGAAGGCAAGATGAGGCAAACATCGATTCAACATGTGATACGTCATGCGGGAGGAGAAGCGAGCGGGTTCGGCCACGAGAGCGATGATATTACGCAGCCCGTGAGCGCGGGATGAAGAGCAGAAGCACGTCTCCATGCTCGGCGGAGCGAGCATGGAGACGTGATTCACCCAACAGTGGATTGATGATGATCCGAACATGCATTTATACTAGAAGAATCCGATGAGCTATAAAGCTCTTTTTCACAGATGTCCAGTAGGGGCGGGTCACCCTACCCATCCTTCCTTTATTTTGCCATTTTGTACCGCAGTCAGTAAGCATTGTCAAGTGCCTTGGCGAAAGGCGCTTTATAGATCCAAAATAGAATAGAACGTCTCAGCAACAAACAAGACAAGAACACGAGAGGAGTGCGAGTTATAGGAAAGGTAAACAAATTACTTAAATAAACATACAAATAAAACTAAACTATTTTTATGTTACCAAAAGCAAAGTTTTTGTTCGGGGGGGGGGGGGGGAATAATAGTAATTTTCTATACTTTTGAGGCATGAGCAATTAGAAAATAACACGCTTACTACCCAGGAACAAAAATCGTGTTACATAGTGCTATATTTATGAGATGAATGACGGTACCTGCTTGGCGTCCTTGGCAAACTCCACGCCGACCCCCTGCAGGAGAGGCCCCGCCAGGCCGTCCGGGCACGGCTCGCACGAGAAGCCCGGCGCCGCGTTCACGCAGCGCACGCCAGCGAAACACGGGCTGGCAAGCTTGCACTGTGGCCCACGCACACCCGCACGCCAAACAAAGACAAAGATCCCCCACCCCCCCCACCCGTATAGCCTTAACGGACTGTTGGGGCAAGTGTTGTTAGCGAGTGGCCAGCAACACGCACCAGGTACTCATTGTGAGGCTGGGTCAACTTAGGGGAGGCCCGGGACTGGTTCAGATAATCGTCACTGGTGCAAATTGAACTCGGGTTCGTTGGGTTTGTAGCTCAGCGTCGCTAACCGCTGCGCCACCACTCCCCCCCCCCCCCACGTTAACACACGCGCATCAACACACACTTAGCATTCACACTGTGAAGACTAAAAGGCGGCGATCCGTTTCAGCCCGCTCTGGACTATTGACGTCACTGCTGCTGGCACACCCCTGTTTATCTTCAGTCGTACTTACAGCTAGGGCTTAATTTCAGCCAGGTCTGTCTGGGTTTGGCGACACAGAATTTATTTCCACACCTGGTACACCATGACCGGAGTACCTCTTGCTAATGGCTGTGGCTACTAGTCACACGCCTTTTTCAATCTACCGGCAACTCGGGACATTTTCAGTGAGGAATTCATTCTGGCTAACGGTCCATGAATGAAAAGTGCAGCCAGCAACGAGATGAGCCAGCACATTTGGCCAAACAAAAGTCCTTTGGGCAAGTGGTAGGTGCACATATCAGCTACATGGTCCAACCAGGAAGCCTTGCTTTGATAATTTTCTTGCAGAGCCAATACACAGCGGGACATTTACAGATTCCATAAAGAGACCACAATTATTCAAATAAATTGCTGGGACACATGGTGTTGGTAGCACGAATTAAGGCCATCTTGACACAAATGTGGTTGATGAGACCAACACCATGACTGACTGCCTTTGTCCCCCCATTGCTGATGCCAGCACCCCACACAAGATACCCGTTTTATACTGAGCCAAACTCGGCAAGGACCATTCCAGATTCACATTATAACAGTGCTCTAGCTATAAAAACAAAAATCTGGCATGCATTCTGCCTGGCCTTGAAGCTTAGCCTGCTGAGTCATACATTCAAGAAGGCCAAATCACCCTAAATGCAAGAAATCACATAAGATCCTGGAAGCTAAGTAGAGTTGAGCGCGGTAGGCTTGGCTGAGGTTCCCAGAAGATGGCTCTACATAATCCATGTGTGTCGAGCTTTGAGCTTTATCCCCTCCTAGTCTTCTGTTTCCTCACACTCGCTAATACATTTACCAAACATCTGAATGCACGACTCTCCTGAAAAACAGTCTTGAGACTCATAGATTGTTTCCTTGGTTAAATCAGGTCAATATAAATGTAAATATCCTCAGAAATTGGGCACATGCTAAAGAGTCACTGGAAGAATGTGTTTTATGAGCTGTATACCAACTAAAACCCAGAATTATTATTATTTTTACTATTTGTATTTTACCAGGTAGCGCCCACTGAGCTATATAGCTGTTTTTCAGAAGCGACCTGGCCAGAAATAATAGCTCAGTGAAGTGGCTTATCACGGGGAAATTTATAGCATCAGCCAAACACTCTAAACGCATGTTTCTGAATGTGGAGGGAAAAACCGGAGGACCCGGAGAAAAATCCACGCGACCACGGGGAGAACGTGCAATCTACAAATATGCAGACGTCAGGGTAGGGATCTAACCCACGACCTGCTGAATACCAGGCGAGGTAGTTAACATCTCGCCACTACTGCGTACATTTTTACGCACCGGGATACCACGTTGCGCTCATGCGCACTTCCAGGAATTGAACCCAGGTCACCACGATCAACATTCTTTCTTTCTCTCACACAAACACAACGATCCCCCCACACAGCCAGAGCCATATCGACTGTTTGAACAAGTGCTGTTAGCGAGGACCTTTGAAGGCCGACATGGCACAGGGGGTGCTGATGTTTTCACACCACACCAGGCTAAGCTAGCCTAATGGAGGAGCAGGCCTGGCTTAGCTGTCACTCGCTACGAATGTTTGCTGTGGCCAGTAATGGAAATTAGGTCACTGGATTCATCGTCCGCCGTGCTAACTAATGAACCTACAGCTCCCTACATAATCAAACATGCAATAGATACAAAAAAAAACTAAACAATACAGCAACCGCCATTCACCACTAAGTGGCGGTGACGTGACCATGTCGTTTGTGCCAGGCCAGGTGCAATTTGAGGTCACGCGAATTGTCGAATGCTCGCTGACAAGTGGACAGACCAAGGTGTTATGGGTAACTGCTTGAGATGACTGTCAGATGCACCACCTGTGCTTTCCTCTGTGCCAACGTGCTGCGTTTTAGCTGCCTGACGCTGCGCTTGTCGTTGTGAGCGTCGCTCATCCGCCTTTGGTTGTGGTTGGAGGGTGACTGCCTCCAACTGCCCAGTAGCGTCCTTCACAAGCCTCCTCCAAATAAATCAATCTTGGCAGTGTTGGTACCAGTCAACGGCAAGTCCAATCAGCTCCACATCCTCCCACACCACATCAGCCCACCCTTCTCTAGCCCGTGCCATGCTAGTTTCGTCCCTTTTATGCGGAAAAACAGAAGCTCCATGGGCATGCGGTGGCTGGACATGTCGGCTACATGACCCAGCCAACGCAGCCTTGCCTGCTGGAGTAGTTCACTGATGGGAATGTGTCCATATCTTTCAAGGATCTGTGAGCTCCTCACACAATCTGGTCTGGTTAAACCCAGACACACAGACACACACACAGACACACACACACAACACACACACAGATACACACACAGAACACACACACAGACACACACACATATAGACACATACACAGAACACACACACAGAACACACACAGACACACACACAGAACACACACAGATAGACACACAGAACACACACACAGAACACACACACAGAACACACACAGATAGACACACACAGACACACACACAGAACACACACACAGAACACACACACACAACACACACAGACACACACAGACACACACACAGACAGACACACACACACAACACAGGCACACACACAATCAACAACCGCCATTCGCCACTAAGTGGCCGCGACGTCACCACGGCGCTTGTGCCAGGCTAGGTGCACATTAAGGCTACGTGAAATGTCGAACGCCTGCCGGCAGGAGGTCATGGGGCAGACCCAGGTGCCATGGGTCGACCGACTGAGATGACTGAGATGACTGGCCGATGCACCACCTGTGCCCCCTACTCTGCCAACTCGCTGTGCTTTAGCCGCCCGGCGCTCCGCTCGTTGTTGTGAGAGCATCACTCCTCTGCCCTCCCTCGTTGCCTGGAGGGCGACCGCCTCCAACTGCACAGAAGCAGCAGCGTCCTTCACGAGCCTCCTCCACGGAGGCCGACCTTGACACCGCTGGTTACAAGCCGTTAGCCAAGTCCACTCAGCTCCACATCCTCCTGCATCGCATCAGCTCCACCTCTTCTCCGGCCCGTGCCGCGCTCATTTAGCCCCCCTCTATCCGGCCGAACAAAATCCATTTAGGCACGCATTGGCTGGGACGTGCGGTGTACGTGACCCAACAAACAAAAAATAGGGCAGCCTTGCACTGCCGGAGGAGCTCACACAACAGAGACAGAGGCACAGGCGCACACTCTCCCGGGGTGTTGGGGCTAAGCTGACCCCGGGCCCCAACCCCGGGAACCACACCCACACCTCGTCGATGTCAGCGCAGTGCGTGCCGTTGCCAGAGAAGCCGTAGGGGCAGCGGCCGCAGGTGAAACCGAGCGCTGAGCCGGGAGCCTCGGTGCAGTCGACGCCGGGGAAGCACGAGGTGGAACTGCAGTGCGACCACCGCGGGGCGTCCCCACCGTCCGTGAAGCCTTCATCCGTGAAAATAACACACACACACACACCACATGCAGCGAGGGAAAAAACGTATTTGATCCCCTGCTGATTTTGTACGTTTGCCCACTGACAAAGAAATGATCAGTCTAAAATTTTAATGGTAGGTTTATTTGAACAGTGAGAGACAGAATAACAACAACAAAATCCAGAAAAACGCATGTCAGAAATGTTGTAAATTGATTTGCGTTTCAATGAGGGAAATAAGTATTTGACCCCTCTGCAAAACATGACTTAGTACTTGGTGGCAAAACCCTTGTTGGCAATCACAGAGGTCAGACGTTTCTTGTAGTTGGCCACCAGGTTTGCACACATCTCAGGAGGGATTTTGTCCCACTCCTCTTTGCAGATCTTCTCCAAGTCATCAAGGTTTCGAGGCTGACGTTTGGCAACTCGAACTTTCAGCTCCCTCCACAGATTTTCTATGGGATTAAGGTCTGGAGACTGGCTAGGCAACTCCAGGACCTTAATGTGCTTCTTCTTGAGCCACTCCTTTGTTGTCTTGGCCGTGTGTTTTGGGTCATTGTCATGCTGGAATACCCATCCATGACCCATTTTCAATGCCCTGGCTGAGGGAAGGAGGTTCTCACCCAAGATTTGACGGTACATGGCCCCGTCCATCGTCCCTTTGATGCGGTGAAGTTGTCCTGTCCCCTTAGCAGAAAAACACCCCCAAAGCATAATGTTTATACCTCCATGTTTGACGGTGGGGATGGTGTTCTTGGGGTCATAGGCAGCATTCCTCCTCCTCCAAACACGGCGAGTTGAGTTGATGCCAAAGAGCTCCAATTTGGTCTCATCTGACCACAACACAGTTGTCCTCTGAATCATTCAGATGTTCATTGGCAAACTGCTTTCTTGAGCAGGGGGACCTTGCGGGCGCTGCAGAATTTCAGTCCTTCACGGCATAGTGTTACCAATTGTTTTCTTGGTGACTATGGTCCCAGCTGCCTTGAGATCATTGACAAGATCCTCCCGTGTAGTTCTGGGCTGATTCCTCACCGTTCTCATGATCATTGCAACTCCACGAGGTGAGATCTTGCATGGAGCCCCAGGCCGAGGGAGATTGACAGTTCTTTTGTGTTTCTTCCATTTGCGAATAATCGCACCAACTGTTGTCACCTTCTCACCAAGTTGCTTGGCAATGGTCTTGTAGCCCATTCCAGCTTTGTGTAGGTCTACAATCTTGTCCCTGGCATCCTTGGAGAGCTCTTTGGTCTTGGCCATGGTGGAGAGTTTGGAATCTGATTGATTGATTGCTTATGTGGACAGGTGTCTTTTATACAGGTAACGAGCTGAGATTAATCTCAGCTCGTTACCTGTATAAAAGACATCTGATTGAGAGGGGGTCAAATACTTATTTCCCTCATTAAAATGCAAATCAATTTATAACATTTTTGACATGCGTTTTTCTGGATTTTCTTGTTGTTATTCTGTCTCTCACTGTTCAAATAAACCTACCATTAAAATTATAGACTGATCATTTATTTGTCAGTGGGCAAACGTACAAAATCAGCAGGGGATCAAATGCTTTTTTTCCCTCACTGTACACACACAACATATACACACACACCATATACACACACAACATATACACACACCATATACACACACACACCATATACACACACAACATATATATACACACACACCATATATACACACACACCATATACACACACACACCATATACACACACACAACAACAACCGCCATTCGCCACTAAGTGGCAGTGACGTCACCACAACGCTTGTGCCAGGCCATATATACACACACAAAACATATATACACACCATATATATACACACACACCATATATATACACACACACACCATATATATACACACACACAAAGCCATAACAGACTGTAGGGGCAAGTGCTGTTAGCGAGAACCTATGAAGGCCAGAACGGTACACGAGGGGGTGAGTGGCCAGCACCACGCCCGACCGCCTTTGTCTCCCCAGTGACGATGTTTACACACCGCACCAGGTACTCATTTCAGGCTGAGTCGACCTATGGGAGGGCCCAGGACCGGTTCAGATAATCGGTCACTGATGTTGTCCGTGAGCGGGAATCGAACCCGGGTCCGCCAGGTTCATAGCGCAGCGTAGCGCTAACCGCTACACTACCGCTCCCCACTAACACACATACACTCGCACACAACATATACACGCACACACAAAATACACACAACATATACACACGCACACCCACAACCCGCGCATAGACATGCACAGAGGGCCATCCATAGGAGGGGGTGTGGGGCCCGGGGAAAATCACGCTGCTGTGTGGACCCCCCGATGAAGCGGGGGGCCCCCCAAAGCACGGGGCCCAGGACCTTCACCCCGATTCGCCGTAAGCTATGGACGGCTTTGCATGCACATATGCTAGGACATTTTTGACTAACCCAAATAGCGTATACAGGATGTCCATGCGTTTTCACCCATTGTTAAAGCTATATAAATGATTTAGGGGTTTGAACTAGATCGATAAAATGGAATATCCGTACATTTTCCAACAAAAAGAAAAGAGTACGTCCATTAAATTAATGTACCATTTCCAATAGCTGGCTTAACATTTCATAGAGCATCACTTGATTAACACACGATTAATATTCTCTATCTAGAGTACAGATGGCCTGCACAAGGTACAATACACTTAAACCTCAGTAAATTACTGCTGTTCCAGCAGACAACTTATTCAACAATAAAGTACGTGGAGCAAATTCTCAGATAAAGGGGCGACGTTCACTCACCGCACGCTTGACACTCCATGATGACATTCCTCAGTAGCGTTGTCTCCTTGATCTGAAAAATGATTACATTCCATTTCATTCGATGACTCAACACTTTTTCGTTCCGAGACGTCTGCAAGTGGCAGGGTGGGTCCCGTTCACTGCCGAACATCGGAACGTGTAAGCGGTTAGGGTTAATTTTATTTAGAAAGGCACAGCACCGTTGTTCTTAAAGACATTGCACTCACTTCAGAGAACTGTAGTGACACGACCGCACTCTATGATATCTGGTGCCAAACGGTGCCACACGCCCTTCCACATGGCCATTTACACGTACTTCAGAACGGAATTAGAAGAAAAACTGATGATGTACACGTAAGTCATTGCAATCGGTTAACAGCAAGGTGGCGAGATGTTAACTACCTCGCCTGGTATACAGCAGGTCGTCGGTTTGATTCCAACCCTGACAGCTATATAATTGGAGTTTACATGTTCTCCCCGTGGTCGTGTGTTTTTTTTCTCTGGGTCCTCTGGTTTTTTCCCTCTAAATTTAGAATCAACATTCGTTTAGAGTATTTGGCTGCTCTAAATTTCCACGTGATAAGCCACTTCGTTGAGCTATCATTTGTGGCCAGATTGCTTCTGAAAAAAGAGCTATATGGCTCAGTGGGCCTTACCTGGTGAAATAAAGAAAATAGTTTAGATAATAGTTTAAATTAGTTTTAAACTGGGAGCGAGCCGACTGAGCTACAATCTAAACAAACACAACTTCACTTAAATTTAGACTTAAAACTTTCGTGACTGCAGGAATTCATATTCTTGGTTCTTTCGGTAAAGTCACGTAGATATAAAACAAAAATTCAAATTAAAAGCAAAAAACCGACGACGTTTCGATCGCAACACAAGCGGTCTTCTTCAGGTGGAGAAGAAGACCGCTGATCGTGTTGCGATCAAAACGTCGTAGGTTTTTTTGCTTTTAATTTGAATTTTGTTTTCTATCTACGTGACTTTACCGAAAGAACCAAGAATACAACTTCACTTGTCCAGATAAACATAACCAGGTGGCTTATAAGTCAGGACACTATGCCGGTGGCTGATAACCTGGCTTCAATCTGGGTTAAAGCCGTCTATCGCTGGACCAGGTTCTCAAGTGTAGTGAGGTCATGGCCTTAGCCCCATCTCTAAAGCCTGCACGAAAATCGCCGTGTTAACTTTGTTTTTTCAAATCAAATTGGCAAAACGCCAGGTCGGAGAGCTAAAATAATAAAAGTTTCATGTTAAACATCTTGTGAGGAAGAGGAGCGCCCCTGCGGTGGATAAGGGGTCACTTGAAGGGATCTTAGGAGTAGTTCTGTGATATCACCTTACATGGGCTATTCCACAGCACAGTGTTATTATTCACCACTGTGCAGGAATTGTGAATGGATATACATTACTGTATCTCAATTTCTAGACGGAGCATTAAGAGCATCAGTGGAATAAAATTGTGGATGAATAAAAAAAATGTGTTTAGTCCATTAGCCTATAGCCCTTGGGGACATTCGGTCCATGGGTTGATGAACTGACAAAAATATGTTATTTCACGTGTATTTTGTGTATGAATTTGTTTATGTTACCCACGATTCTCTATAACAGCATATATTGAGTGTTACAAATGTAACGTTCTGTGCTGAATGGACCCCACAGCTTAAGCAAAGTCCTCTTAGTCATAACATTTGAAAACACAGTATAATTTGTTTAACAGGCCTAATTCACCAAGGCGATATTGGTCTTCAGTTTTCTTGATGAACAAAATTTTGCCGTTAAACATTGGTTCAGAAGACCCATAGACTGATGGATCAAGCATAAAGAAAGCCGTCCCTTGGTATGGACCCAATCAGTTTCAAGGACAATGCATATATTATCATAGTATGTTTTGTTTGCATTTTGACTGCAGGTATAGTAGTTAATGCAGACATGAATCCTCGTAAAAAGGTTTCAGTTTTATGAGACCTCCTTTGCCAGAAACAAGATATAAGAATAGGTTTTACCCTTTTAACTGGCACAAAAACTGACACCTTTATTCAAGGCATCATGTTTGCAATAACCACAACACAAGCAGTCAAAATGCAAACAAAAAAGACAACTCTGATAATAATATGCACTGTCCTTGAATTTGATTGGTCCACACCCGAGACAGCTTTTCTTAGAGCCTAGTCTCCATTGGTGTTGGACCAGAAGACGCCAAAAGGCGTACAACTCAAAAACAGCGCACTCTCAGAGCATTGAGGGCTCGGGGTGAGCATTAACATTATGAGACCTCCTTTGCCAGAAACAAGATATAAGAATAGGTTTTACCCTTTTAACTGGCACAAAAACACCAATGGAGACTAGGCTCTAAGAAAAGCTGTCTCGGGTGTGGACCAATCAAATTCAAGGACAGTGCATATTATTATCAGAGTTGTCTTTTTTGTTTGCATTTTGACTGCTTGTGTTGTGGTTATTGCAAACATGATGCCTTGAATAAAGGTGTCAGTTTTTGTGCCAGTTAAAAGGGTAAAACCTATTCTTATAGGTTTCAGTTTTGTTGCCAGAAAAAAGGGGAAAAACCCTATTATTATTATTATTATTATATTATTGAGTCTTAGGTTGTCCGGATAACAGCACCCACACGCTGGCTCACAATGCACGCACACTCTCGGCAGCCCATATCCCTGACGACGGGCAGTGAGGCGTAGCGATGAGGTACACTGTGAGGGCAGCACCGCGCCCGACACGCGTGCTGTGCGCCGCTTGCCTGGTCACGCGTGTCCTGGCTCAGCTGCCGCATCGCTTGGTTAAACAGGGTCATCTGAGCCACCAGCTGGGCCATGTGCTCGCCTGTGGGTCCCGGAGGAGACAGGAAAAGTAAATGAATACGTGAACACCCTTTGTCCACTGCCAGATCCACGCGAAAGCCAGTGTGGGGGTGCTTACAATATTGATGGTTTTCCACTGGCTATTTGCCGAGCCGTGCCATGAACCAAATCGCGATACGCTGGCTTCAAAAGACATCTGACTTGGCATGGCCCTGGCACGGTTCGGTTGTTCAGTGGAAAAGAGGTGTAATTGTACCAAAAACAAGCAAAAACTACTTTAAAAAATTTTTTTTTTTTAAACAACGGTTTTATTCACAACTGGCGCGCCTGAGACACGTGGCGCCTGGTTCTTGGGCGAGGCGATTCGAGAGTTTAGGGACCGCAGCGTTTTTGACCTACGCAAATATATATATAAATAATAAGGCGTCCATATGGAATGTTAATTGCTTAAAAGTAGCTAATTAATTGATGGATTGATGCGGATTTTGATACAGGCATGTATTGTCACCGGATCTGAGTACGTGTGCAAACTTTTGAATTGATTGGACAACAGGAAGTAGATTACATTTTGATTACAAGATTTGACCACGACACAGGAGTCAAGTTAAGTAAAACCGTTGAAAAAAATCACATCTTTCCAAGCATTATTCACTTCACAGTACGGTATTCACTGACTCGAAGAGAACGAGCGAGTCAGAGGCGCGAGGAACCGCTGACAATCGGGAAGCTAGCAGAGTGGCGTGCCGGCATCAAATTCCCAATATCTGGCGGTCCTCTGTATACATATTAAGGTTTCATCAACCAAATTAACAAGTATTCTTGGTTCTTTCGGTAAAGTCACGTTGAAGGGAAACAATAAAACAATAAAATATATGTAAAACAATACAATTCTCACGACGTTTCGACTGTAACACGAACAGTCATCATCAGGTGTTTTATTGTTTCCCTTCAATGTGACTTTACCGAAAGAACCAAGAATATGAATCACTGCGGTCACCAAAGCTTTAAATCAAAATTCAATTAACAAGTGTTTATACATGTGGGAGGAAATCGGAGCACCCGGAGTTAAAACCCACGTGTGACCGGGGGTAACTCTACCCCATAGAAAGGGAACGGGTGGAGCCCACTTGCTCTGTACCGCCTTCACAAGATAACAGGACTGGAGTCTAAAACAAAACCGGTACGCCATCTCATGATTCTGTGGCTGCACTAGAAGTTAATTGTACTCGTAAAAACAATAGGAACTCTGCTTCTCAAAACCTCCGTAAAAAAGTGTCGCTTATCCTGTTTCTTTTTTAGCAACGTGCAGGTCATGAGCCGAAATATGCAAGCATATTTCGAATAACTTGAATACTTTTAAAATGATGACAAAAAATTCTGAACAGATGTTAACATTTAAATGCATCGCAATAAACAAGCAGAACACTGATTTATTAGCCAGCAATTGGGAGGTTGCCTCGCTGTAGGTTTTGTAGGTGTATACTCATAGTCTGAACAGCAGTTTTGTCAAGTGTAACACTATCAAGCTGGTCATGCCGACTGCTGTTGTGAATCTCGACTTAACAACACACAAAGGTGTGTATTTTACGTACAAAATCTCTCGGCTGTATCCACATAACCAGCTCAAAAGACCCGAGTGTGTGGCTATTTTGGCGTTTAGGTCACCAACTCACAATAGTTGGGAAAATGTAGCCATCCCAACCAAAGGGCAGCAGCGAAACAAGACAACTGTAGACCAGTTTCATCCTCATTAGAACTCATCAGTAGTACCAGTCTTGGGCCTCCCCTAGGTCTACTCAGCCTTAAATGAGTACCTGGTATGGTGTGTAAACATCAGCGACCAAGGAGACAAAGGTGGACGGGCGTGGTGTTGGCCACCCACCCCCTCGTGCACCGTGCCGGCCTTCATAGGTGCCGCTCTCTAACAGCACTTGCTCCGACAGTCTGTTAAGACTATAAAGGGGATCTTTGCATGATCAGTGAGATAACTTACCCAGCAATGATACGCTTAAGATGTTGGCACCATTAACTAAAAAGGAGGAAAAACAAAACAATCACTGAACAACTCCAATAAAACAAGTTAATGTTTGCCAAACACGAGGTTATTAGCAACTGAAAACTAGCCTCAAAGGATATAATATATTCATATTTATATTCATATAATACAGCATCGGATTAACACATTTATAAAAGTCATCTTTCCATGGCTGCAACAAATAAAGTAAAAAAAAACGAGGCAGTTCACGAACATCGCAACATTTGAAGCTGCTAAAATGCATCAATGTAAAGACGACAAGTCTTATTGTGTTTACAATTTTGTACCTGAGTGAAAGGAAGCTACAACTCACAAGCCAAGTAACGCTTGTCTTGTAGATAGAAACATGGACCCTGCATCCCAGTGTGTCCAACACAAATTTGTGGCTTTAAAGTTACAACTAAGGAGCACCGTTACAGCGCTCCGGTGATATCACTGCAGTGATGTAAAGTACGTGCTTGTGCAAAGATGGAGGGTCATTGCCCGAAACGTTGCCTATCAAATGTGTATTTTTAAGGTGACTGTTATTGATGGATGTGTTGAGTTTTTGTTGTTGTTGATGTACAAGAGAGATGTTGAAGTGATGTCACTGGAGCACTATGATGTGCAATGACCATAGCTTCAGTCTTTATCCCGAAGTAACAAAAGCTTACGGTGTATATCAGACAGCCCAGGAATGCATTTATCAGAAAACTAAGCTACTTTGTTTTTTTGGGTCGTGACTTCCTTTAAATTATCACATGACGATGTGCCTTACCTCTAATAGTTAACGTTGTTTAAATATGAATGAAGCTTCATATTTTTTTAGCTAAGTGGCCAATTTCCCATAATTACACAACCCCCGAGGCCACGGATTTCAGTCCTGGGTTGCAATCCCTTTGAAGCCACTTTGCCAACGAGTGGCTGTGTTTTATGGATTCGGCACAGTCAGGGATGCCACGCAAAATATGAGAAACTTGCTGACTGCATTGCATTTGGTTGTAACCATGACATTCTGTTACTGCATCATTACACAAACGTAGCGGTGGGGGTTTGCAATCGTTGCAGGGTCATTAATGTCAACAAAACCAAGTTGGATTTCTGCCACATCTACATTCACGGGTATTTCAAGATAGCTTTATGCGGATGTGCTTCAGAGTGAAAACATCTCATTGGCATTATTTGTTCTGGACAAAAGTCTTGAAAATGAGCATGAATGCAATTGTTTACAACTTTCTAACCAAATAAATGTATTTATTCACAATAACTTTAAATGTTTTAAACATTCTACGGAGTTATATTGAATATTAGAAAGTGAATATGCTTTCTCACGTGCGCCAATAGTCAAACTACCTAGAATGTTCCTGATCCCACCACATCTCCACAGCTAAGCAGGCTGGAGCCGGGATAGTGCTCGGAGGGGTGACCACTAAGGACTAACGCAGGCGTGGTTAGGCATGGTGGGCAGGAGAGGGCAGTGCCACAAGATCCACTGTTGTTTTGTACCCCCCCCCCCACTTTGACTAATCCGCCATAACAGGGCTATCCATAATAATAATTAAAAAAATGAAATAACCAGCATGGTCAAGAATGATAACCCCCCCCCGCTCTCCGCACTGCGGGGGGAGGCTTTCATACAGCATTGGGTCGTCAAACGGGCTGTACGCGTTCCACATGCAAAGCAACATTAGCAAAACTAAATGTCAGTGTTTGAGATAAGGGGCACTGCTGCCCCAGGGCGAGCAATGAGCACCTGCTTGTTGGCACGGTTCGCCACAAAGCCAGTGGGCACCGTTCGAATGCTGCAGCTGCTCACGGCTGCAAAAGCACGATCCAAGAGGGGACACTGAGATATCGACTCTGAGACACGCTGCCCAAAGTATGCCAATGTCTTTTCTCAAACCCTAAACCTTAAGATTACTCACAGCTAAAGTAAATAACAGTAACAGCGTTGATGTCCCCTTATTCGGAATGTTTGTTTCGACTGAAGGAATCCGATGAGCTTTGAAGCTCTTTTTCACAGATGTCCAGTAGAGGCTGGGTCAACAAGTTACATCAACAAACAACACACGCAAAAACGAGACAATAGCAAGATAGAGAAAGGGTAGGCAAGTCACTAAAATAAATAAATATTCATACAGTATATGAGTACAAATTGCAAAAGTATATAAATTCCTGCCGATGTGTCAACACAAAATGCAAGTTTGGCTAACAACAAAAGTCTCAGGACATACCAAGACAATACGGTCCCTCGATTACATTGTCGTTACCAAACCCCCATTGCAATAGAGGAGATGATACAATGCAATTCGAATGTATGAAGCGACTAAATGTGGCCGCATCCTAAGCGACTGCGCATGAAGGGAAACGAATTCTGTGGGGAAGAGGACACAGATGTTGGTGCATTCACGTGGCACTGCATGGAACTGAGCTGCCCTTTCTGCCAGGGCTCTCCCTGACCTGATTTGATCCTATGATGCTTATCGAATCAACACCATCACATTTTTATACCTCTTCCCTTGAGCAAACTGAGATGTAATTACAGTATTTACAAATGTAGTGTGTACAGTATTTACACACACACACGATATTTGACCGATTGCAATCTTGAATGGGAACCTTCATTCTTATCACAGCGGCAATCTGTTCCATTACTTTTCAAGTTGAGGCTAAATATTGCTTTTTCCAATATCTGCCTATTGCATATATTTTAAATAACGTGGTAAAATTTGATCTATACATGTACTTATTTATTATTCATTGCCCACAAGCCACCGGCAACATCACAATATTTTCACACAATGTTCTGTAACGCCACCGAACAGGCCCACGGTGTTCACGGAGGGCTCTTGTCGACAGCACCGGGTCACGGAGCAGCGCTGCTTTAACCAAATCACGCGAATACACCCAATAACATCGAATATCCCCAAGGCAAGCAAGACTCACCATGGATGGTGATTGGACTGATGACAACCATTCACGGCTGGTGCTATAGGCTGCCGCAGGGCCGTTTTGTGGGTTCCAGAAGGCAGCGCGTCATTGTTGTACATTACTTCTATGCGTCCTTGTCTATGCGCCCTGCCTTCACTCACCCATACCCACCAGCGTGGAGAAGTGTAGTGCAGTAAAAAAATAACCCCCAGGGATCCTCATCCAGCAGTGGATTGACAAAGTCATTGGCCGTTCACAGCCGTCCACGGTGGAAACACAGAGTGCGCTGATCGCACCCAACTGGAACGGCATGCGCACATTGTCAGCAATTGCCACGGGGTTTGGGAGGTTTTCATTGCAAATCCCGAACGCCGCTATTACCTTCCACAGGCATGTTGGTATAGTGCTCGAAGTCTTACGCACAGCATCAGTAATCATGTGTCAGTTTAACAAGTAGCAGGCTTGCGCGACCAATATTGTTGATAATAAATGTTTTTGGGTTAGATCGCGTTATTTATAAATGTGTCGTAACCCTCCACCACCCGACACGGCCAATCAGCAAAAAAGTGGCAGAGTGAATCCACTCTTCAAGACACCGGTGGGCTAAAGTAGTGAACTCTTTTGTCTTTTGTCAACGTGACACTTTTTGCTGATTGGCCGTGTCGGATGGTGGAGGGTTACGACACATTTATAAATAACGCGATCTAACCCAAAAACCTTTATTATGAGTAATTATGTGCTATATCGAAAGTAGTTTGATTGTGCTCGTGCAAGGTAAATGATGCTCGTTGAGAAAAAAACAGTGAACGTGCGCGGTTTGTTGGTTGGACTCTGCACGTTAATTGTCTAGAATAGTCAAGAGATGTATTAATAGAGACACTTGCAAGGTGATAGGTGTGGTCCTTTAACAACAGAAATATTACAAATGTTAATATTCGTATTGAATAAGTATGCATTAATCTTGATTATAGAAACACATCTCTTACGTTACATTTAACGGAATATTGAATCTAACTGAATATATAACATTTCTGGGTGTAAATTGCCGCTATCCAATGACAAATGTAGCCAACAATGACAAAAACCGCGTAAAAAAATAAAATTCAAGACCTCAATAATGTTTAACATTCTTTCAAACGTTCCTCACCAGAACTGGTTTCATTTAGAGGCCTGCAACTCGCACACATTTTTCTCATTTCAGCCGCCTGGAACACGTACGTACGGTCAAAGTGAGACAGTTGTTATACACATCCAGCCTATCACGTTCCCAAGCAACGTTTCGAAAACCGTGGAATTGTTTGTTAGACCTTCTGCAAGGACAAAAAAAACAAACATCCAGGCCATTAAGCTGGGTTGGTTACACCCAGATGTGCCCCAACGCTGGAAACAAAACAAGCGGGGGGTAATTTTTTTTTACATCGCACACTCTGTCGTGTCCTTTCACGGTGCAGGAAGGAACATCTCTGCCAGTTTGCTTACTGACGTTTGACTCTCAGCCAGAGAGCATGCGCATTTGCGTCTCCATACTCCACAGAGGGAGCCTTTGTGCCGATTTTACGGTGGAACGTTCACGAATGGAGCGGCCGCAGCTTGCGTTGACGCAGATATGCCCATATATGTGATGGCTCTGGGCTGCTTGGCACCACTGACATCTCCTCCAGCCACTACGACATGTGCCCCTCCTTTAACGATGTCCCCGCCATCGTCAGGCGTCTCACCACCGAAGGCTGCAAATGCGAACCGGACGAACGGCGCAGTCTGATCACGCGCAGCACCGAGTATGGTACCGCCGAGGGGGGAGGGATTGTGGCTTTGGGCAATATTATTGCGGTGGTTCTTTGGTAACGCATCTTCGAAATCCCGCATGTCTGTAAAACAATGATTAAGCGAGTGGCTTCATATTGCTAAAAGTTGTACGGCATGGCGGACGACTGAGCCGCTGCTGATGGGATCTTGGGTTCCGGTCCGGGGGTTCTCACGTGTAGAGCATTAACGGGAGTTGTCGGCAAGCTGCGCCTCTTGAGGGACTGCTTCGTGACTCGTTATGTATCAAGGGCTACCGTCTCGTATTCACACGGCGTTGCGGCTTTTTGAAATATCGAGAGGTTTTTTTTGCCACCGAATTTGAAAAAAATGTCTCTTCTTGTTATTTTGGTTGCCATCCCCTGCGCATTACCAAGCATTGCGTGCTCTATTTGGTCAGTTTAATCTCCGATGGTTTATTTTAGAGAATGAAGAAGAGCGAAGATTTCAGTCTTTAAGTTGTGTAGTACAGATCGTTAATCAGAACTGAGCAAAATCCTGTGGGATCACTATTACTGTACACCACTGGTAAAAGTGACACATGCTTCGATCTGTGCTCAGAAATAAACCATGTAGCCCTATTAGCTGAAACTAAATTGAAAAAAATGGGCATACAATTGGTGAATAAACTGTAAAAAAAATGTTTTCAAACAAAAAAAGTCCAGAATGACGCTCATTGTTGCGAGCTTAATTGCATCTGAGTGTGCCGATCGCAAGAATTCAATAGCACAAGATGCTGGATTGTTTTGGGTAATGTTGAGGAATATTACCGGAAACATGTTGAGGAATATTACCGAAGTATTATATCTGCTGCAAAGACCTGCAAAGACATATCGTGGGTGAGTATTTCACGCTAAACGCACAAGTGTTGTGCTGTTGCCGAAACGCTGTTCTCAGAACTCCTTTGGCTTTTGAATGTTACTCTGATGCGGTGCCCTTGCCCAGCATGCCTCTAACGCTATGGCAGGTGTGCCGTGTTAAAATATAACAAAGCCAAAGGACAGCCTGGGGTATTTGACTGGAGATTTTCTGCTGTGATGCAACTGTGATAGAATGCACGCAACTATAATTGTACTCAAATTGTCTTCGTGTATGAACAAAGCATTGTTTGTTTTTCGATTGCTAAACCGTAACGCACATCAGACCAAATACTTAATAGTTGGACAACTTGAGAGCGCTATTAAAGCCTTTGCGAGATATCTTTCAAAGATACATTAACACTACCGGTGAACCAGAGGGTGTCTTTGAAGGTATCATCATCCAGCAGCTTTGTACTTTGACGGCGGTCCAAGCTGCATGGTTGAATGCTGGGGCAATGTGAGTGATAAAGTGGTCACTGGAAAAAAAAAAACAAAGATCTACCAAAGGATGATCTTCAGCAGGACAGACAATAGAAACAATCACATGCTCTGATGTCTGCAAGCACCCTGGGACTCTCTCAACTTGTACATTTTAATTCAGACGAGTGAATGCTTTGCGCTGTGCTCATTATGTAACATGTATGTAACATGTATCCATCAGAGCCGGGATAAAGTTGGTGAAAGGACCTCCATAGGGAGGTCCTCTACAGAGGATCTTACTCGATTCTTCCTCACCGGCCAGACATCTTGGTAAAACATGAGAGTACCCACACTTTAACTAGTCACACGCGGCATGCTGATTGACTAACTGTGGGGGGGCTCATTAATGCTGCTTGGGGAACAGAGGCAGGGAGCGTATTGAAGAAAACCCGCCCAATTGTTTCAACTGCCCGCACAAGGAGATCGAACCGGCGACCTCTGGATCGCGAGTCGAGCCTGCTGACCACGACACCACGGCAGCGTCTCAAAACTGGTGCAGGGAACAACAACGACAACGTTTGCCTCGCGAATATGAGTTGATTTACGCAAACGGCATGTTCACGCATTTATTAAGAATGATGGGCAAAGACCATCTCTCACTGCATTGCAGCACCAATGATTGCAGCCAATAGAAAGTGGAATTTTGGAGACTGATGAGGAGAGAAAGAAGTGTATAAGTTGCGTACTCACATAATATTGCTGGAAACAGTCATGTTGTAAATATATAAATACAAAGGGCATACGTAGTGTGCTTCCACATTCGTAAAACAACAGTTTTGTTGATCTATTACTTGTATGTATTTTTACCTACATACTTAACGTAGTTGTAGATATATTCTGGTATCCGTGTCAAGTATTGTAGGTGCCTTATCATGTAAAAAAAATACTAAACGATAATAAAATTGTGCTGATGATCCTGATGCGACTGATGATGATGACGTGGAGGTGGATGACTGACGATGACGTGGAGGTGGTTGACTGATGGTGACATGGAGGTGGTTGACTGATGATGAAGTGGAGGTGGTTGACTGATGGTGACGTGGAGGTGGATGACTGATGGTGACGTGGAGGTGGATGACTGATGGTGACGTGGAGGTGGTTGACTGATGGTGACGTGGAGGTGGTTGACTGATGGTGATGTGGAGGTGGATGACTGATGGTGACGTGGAGGTGGTTGACTGATGGTGACGTGGAGGTCGTTGACTGATGGTGACGTGGAGGTGGTTGACTGATGGTGACATGGAGGTGGTTCACTGATGGTGACGTGGAGGTGGTTGACTGATGATGAAGTGGAGGTGGTTGACTGATGGTGACGTGGAGGTGGATGACTGATGGTGACGTGGAGGTGGATGACTGATGGTGACGTGGAGGTGGTTGACTGATGGTGACGTCGAGGTGGTTGACTGATGGTGACGTGGAGGTGGTTGACTGATGGTGACGTGGAGGTGGTTGACTGATGGTGACGTGGAGGTGGATGACTGATGGTGACGTGGAGGTGGTTGACTGATGGTGACGTGGAGGTGGTTGACTGATGGTGACGTGGAGGTGGTTGACTGATGATGACGTGGAGGTGGTTCACTGATGGTGACGTGGAGGTGGATGACTGATGGTGACGTGGAGGTGGATGACTGATGGTGACGTGGAGGTGGTTGACTGATGGTGACGTGGAGGTGGTTGACTGATGGTGACGTGGAGGTGGTTGACTGATGGTGACGTGGAGGTGGTTGACTGATGGTGACGTCGAGGTGGTTGACTGATGGTGACGTGGAGGTGGTTGACTGATGGTGACGTGGAGGTGGTTGACTGATGGTGACGTGGAGGTGGATGACTGATAGTGACGTGGAGGTGGTTGACTGATAGTGACGTGGAGGTGGATGACTGATGGTGACGTGGAGGTGGTTGACTGATGGTGAAGTGGAGGTGGTTGACTGACGGTGACGTGGAGGTGGATGACTGATGGTGACGTGGAGGTGGTTGACTGACGGTGACGTGGAGGTGGATGACTGACGGTGACGTGGCGGTGGTTGACTGATGGTGACGTGGAGGTGGTTGACTGATGGTGACGTGGAGGTGGTTGACTGATGGTGACGTGGAGGTGGTTGACTGATGGTGACGTGGAGGTGGTTGACTGATGGTGACGTGGAGGTGGTTGACTGATGGTGACGTGGAGGTGGTTGACTGATGGTGACGTGGCGGTGGTTGACTGACGGTGACGTGGAGGTGGTTGCGTGAGAACGAGCCACACCTGTGTTGTGGATGTCCGCATCTCCTTGAAAGGAGCATTCCTGGATGGCCCCGATTCGAGCCAACGTTCCGCCCAACACCAGCCTCATGTCGTCAACAGTGCCCTGCTGAACAACACAGTCATGTGATCCCATCGCACGAGGCGTCCACTTTGCTGGCGACGCGGCTGGGTGCGGCGGAGCGTGCCTGTACCCTGGTACTCTGGAGACAAGGGTTGATTAATCATGTAGATCTGTGAAACACCCAAAACACTCGCTGACCAGGAAACGGCAGGACCTCAAACGTGTTATTTTTGTGTACTCCGATTTCCTCTGTCCTCCAGACAGTCTCGTCCCTTCACCTGATGAAGGCCGCTTGTGTTGTGGCCGAAGCGTCGTGAGAATTTTTATTGTGTTATTTTATCAATTTATTATTTTATTCTCATTCTACGTGACTTTACCGAAAGAACCAAAGAAGATGAATCCTTGCAGTCACGAAAGCTTTAAATGGAAACCTATTGTTATATTTGTTGTGATTTATTAGTCAGATGGTCCCATTCAACCAGTTGTCCGCCTATTTTATGAGGCAGATCCACGGGGCGTGAGCGCACTAGCAACACTAACACTAAAATGACAATATTGCAGAGAACGAGTACAGGGTCCTTCAGCAATATTGCAAAACTGATCAATAATGGTCGTAAACGAAACACACATGGCAACAAAAAAATAGCAAATATAACATGAGAGCAAGAGGCGCCAGAAAGAGTCAGGCACAGCTGCAAGTAAACTTGACATTTTATCGCAACTGAAAAAAATATTACATCAACTACACGTCTATTATCTGGCTCAGAAGCAATCCTTAGTCACGATTTCCACCATACCGGCTCACACGGGTTTTATAAAATGGTGAACTAACTCCAACTGGCAGGCGGGAGAGAAACACAGCATTCTATTTGAGTTTGACATGATGCTGAAACACATAGAGGCTGCACATTTGAGACGGACACCTCATACCCTGGGAACCGCTGGCACGCTTGCTGTGATCCATGCGGAAATTAACAGTCTGAACGCTGGCCTTCTGCAACTATTTTGAGTCCACAGTGATTTCGTGTTCTGCATGGAACTTTGTTCATTTTAACATTGATCAATGCTGAATAAGGCTCTTGAATGTACAATTTTAAAACTGTAATTGAAAGGAAATTCCAATAAAGGCCCCAGCGTTGGACACTGGTGAATTTTATAATGCAGTTCCTACAAATGTTATTTTTCAACATTTAATATATCAGATACTGGTTTATAGACAGCAGGTCAGTATTAAAAAAGGTGAGTTTTGGCTTGAATTTATAAAGGCGGTCTCCATTTTACGACAGTCTGACTTACTACGATCCACATTTACGGCATTTATTTAATGCCACCATGGATCGATTTACGGCACAGAAACTTGATTTACGACGCATCTCCCGACATGACTCCGAACACATTTGAGCAGAGTCAGTTTGGTTTTTCCGATGTGACTTGGCGTGGAGATTCTGTTATTCTCAAGTTATACACCCCTAGCTGCCACCGCTATTCAGTGGCCTAAAATAAAATAAAATGTTTCGCTTCGGATGACCGCTGCAAAGTATTATCTGTATTTTGATTTAGTGTGCTGATCTTAAAGGTGCATTGAAAAATGTGATACTCGGACTGATGCTCCTGTTGTTGTGGAGTGACTCATGCAGCCAGCTATGGCTCTAGGGTTTGGTGTTACATGTTATTTATGTAGTTTATTGTAAAAAAAAATCGGTCACAGTCCTTATGATCACTGTTACGTTGCAATTATGGCTTTATTTTGGTGATTTCGAAAAGTGTTTTGGTTTGGCCATGTTTTTGTTTATTGTAGTACGGAGTTAGACTGATGGCCTTAATCTAAGTTGTCTTGTGGTTGTTGTTTGACTTGCATCCCACTGGGATTTTTGCACACAGCGTTGGTGTACGGTGCTATTTCAGGAATATTTTGCTGTTTTTTCCTGGATTTTCTGTTTGCACAGTCACATAGTCACTTTAAGATGTTTTCTTGTTCATGTTTTTGTTATTTGTTTGTTGCGGTTGCACCCGATTCAAGAGCCGAATGGCTCACAGGGCTATACCAAATAAATGGAACTATAGAACTATGGAAGTGTTTTTTGAGGATTTGTACATATTAAACCTTGGCTGATACAAGGAAAAATACCTCTACTGTTTCGAATGTCTATGGGAAAATAGGGTCTGAACTACAACGGGGTGTCCATGAGCGCATTGTGTTTGAAAAGTAGGGAGTGCTTGTATGATTTATATAGGAGCATTTTAATTAAACTACAAAATATGATATGAAATGTTAGAAAATCATGCTCAATACCAGCAACTAATTCACCAAATACATATTAATATTCAAGTATGTTTCTTAGGATAGCAATGAAGTGTCGTTCTGTCGCGACATGTGATGGCGTTGATTAATTTACATGTTTATCACAAGGCCTAAAAGTCTTGCATTAATACCATACATTTGCACATGATAAACATCCACTGTTTATTGAGATGTATTATACATTTCGATTTCAAGCTTTCGTGACTGCAGGGATTCATATTCTTGGTTCTTTCGGTAAAGTCACATAGAAAGAACCAAGAATATGTATTATACATTTTTAAAAAGCCAAGGAAATATAGGCTATGAGGATATTATAAATTGGAAAATCCTAAAAACTTAAGAGAATACTGGTGAATTGAAATTGTTAATAATGGCAATGGAGCTTTTATTCGAATTACATTACAACTATGGTTGTTGATTTGAACATAAAAGCCTTATGCAGTCGGAGGCTCAACCAGAAACAAAAACAAACTTAATTTTTTAAAAAAATACCCGACAAAATATTTCCAAACATAAAAAATACGAGATTTTTTTCCCTATAAGTTATAACCTGCATCAAACACATTACTCGAATAATTAAACACCTTAGACTTGATTCCTCCTTACAAATTCACACTTTTCAAGAGTTAACAGTTAGAAAGCAGAATAAGGTACTTTCTTCACCTCTTTGTTTACAAGGCTGTTGCACATTTTTTGCATAATAAAATGCGTCATTACGTTCCACAAAATGTAGCTCTTGGCCAGGAGACTGTGGAACAGTTACGGAGCTGTTAGAAGTTCCAGGTAGAAGATTATTCCCACATGTCTCTCCTCGTTGCAGTGCCCATTGAAGTAGAGCCCAAATATGCAATGCATGTGAGTGTGTCAACCTCTGGATGAGATAATCAATCTGCCAGTCCATTCTGCGCGCTACTGTTTGGCGTGCCCAGCTGAACCTGGGCATTTGGAATGGAAACACTGATGCCTTGCACGGTGGGTGTGTCTCGAGGTAAACCCAGATCATACATGCGAATTCTTTCTGTAAAGTAAACTTTCCAATTCCACTTCTTACAAGTTGTATACAAGGATTATGACTGAGCAAAGCAAAGTTGAAATGTAATTGGCAACTGAGGAAGGAAAATATAAGTCAGAGTTTCCAGGCATATTCAAACGCGCTTCGACAGAGGTATGGGCACGTACCGGACGCCGAGAGACACCGAAGGCTATCATTGAATCGCACAGCCGCGCTTTTGCCATTCTCACTCAATCAAGTTGTTTCAATTCAGCAGGCCATACCCAGCTAGCAACGGAATGTATGAATGCCCACCTCTTACAGGAAAGCAACCGTGGCTAGGCCAAGGGTCCCCCTGAAACGTGCAGCAATGCACAGAATGATAACAAAATATGCTGAAGACACTTTGGAAAAGTTTATGGGCAAATTCTAAGAAGAGAAGCTCTGGCGATAGAAAGGGCTAGCGGACGATACGGTGATACTGCTCAAAGATTTGCACAGACAAGCGGTTAGCAACCCTCGTGCCATCGTTTAGCCACATTATAGTCAATAAACAAATCTGCTACACTCCAAACAATGGAGCCCCCCACTCAGTCATACACAAATATGGCACTGGTGTCCAGGTGTAGCAACCAAGAGCATCACTGCGTACGAACCATCACGAAGCGAACAATCGTGTACTGTGTAGTTGACGTATGAAGAATTTGAAACAAGGTCCTTACAGCTGAAGGAGTTGAAACTCCATCTCCATAACAATGGGCGCTTTCTCAAGTACACCACGTACAAGGCTATCTACTCCAGCCTCTTACCTGTTTAAAATAAGGTAAACTCAATACAGTTATTTCACGTACTCCTCATTCCAGCGATTGAAGGTTTTCTGTTAAAACCCTCGGTTGTTGACCTCCACTCAATCGGATGTCACCTCTTCTCTGCTGCTACCCCTGTGGTATAGAATTCCCTCCTCAAGCCATTTGTGCTGCTCACCTGCTCAAGTCAGGGCGGTGGCAAAATATGAACTGCCTTGCCCAGTATACAGGAGGTCGTGGGTTCGATTTCGACCCTGACACCTGTATATTAGCAGTTTGAATTTTACCCCCCCGGTCGCGTGGATTTTTCTTCGGGTCCTCTGGTTTTTCCCTCTACATTTAGAAACATGCAGTTAGAGTACTTGGCTGCTCTAAATTTGGACGTGATAAGTCACTTCGTTGAGCTATCATTTGTGGCCTGGTTGCTTCTGAAAAAAGAGTTGGGCAGTGGCCCAGCTACACGAACCTGGTTGGGCTGTGACCCAACTACAGGAACCTGGTTGGGCTGTGACCCAGCTACACGAACCTGGTTGGGCTGTGACCCAGCTACAGGAACCTGGTTGGGCTGTGACCCAGCTACAGGAACCTGGTTGGGCTCCGGCCCAGCCACACGAACCTGGTTGGGCAGTGACCCAGCTACACGAACCTGGTTGGGCTCCGGCCCAGCTACACGAACCTGGTTGGGCTGTGACCCAGCTACACGAACCTGGTTGGGCTGTGACCCAGCTACACGAACCTGGTTGGGCAGTGACCCAGCTACACGAACCTGGTTGGGCAGTGACCCAGCTACATGAACCTGGTTGGGCTGTGACCCAGCTACACGAACCTGGTTGGGCTGTGACCCAGCCACACGAACCTGGTTGGGCAGTGACCCAGCTACATGAACCTGGTTGGGCTATGGCCCAGCTACACGAACCTGGTTGGGCTATGGCCCAGCTACACGAACCTGGTTGGGCAGTGACCCAGCTACATGAACCTGGTTGGGCTGTGACCCAGCTACATGAACCTGGTTGGGCTATGGCCCAGCTACATGAACCTGGTTGGGCTGTGACCCAGCTACATGAACCTGGTTGGGCTGTGACCCAGCTACATGAACCTGGTTGGGCTGTGACCCAGCTACATGAACCTGGTTGGGCTGTGACCCAGCTACATGAACCTGGTTGGGCTGTGACCCAGCTACACGAACCTGGTTGGGCAGTGGCCCAGCTACACAAACCTGGTTGGGCTGTGACCCAGCTACAGGAACCTGGTTGGGCAGTGACCCAGCTACATGAACCTGGTTGGGCTGTGACCCAGCTACATGAACCTGGATGGGCTGTGACCCAGCTACAGGAACCTGGTTGGGCAGTGACCCAGCTACATGAACCTGGTTGGGCTGTGACCCAGCTACATTAACCTGGTTTGGCTGTGACCCAGCTACATGAACCTGGTTGGGCTGTGGCCCAGCTACAGGAACCTGGTTGGGCTATGGCCCAGCTACACGAACCTGGTTGGGCTGTGACCCAGCTACACGAACCTGGTTGGGCAGTGGCCCAGCCACACGAACCTGGTTGGGCAGTGACCCAGCTACATGAACCTGGTTGGGCAGTGACCCAGCTACAAGAACCTGGTTGGACTGTGACCCAGCTACACGAACCTGGTTGAGCTGTGAGCCCGCTACATGAACCTGGTTGGGCAGTGACCCAGCTACACGAACCTGGTTGGGCAGTGACCCAGCTACAGGAACCTGGTTGGGCAGTGACCCAGCTACACGAACCTGGTTGGGCTCCGGCCCAGCTACAGGAACCTGGTTGGGCAGTGACCCAGCTACACGAACCTGGTTGGGCTGTGGCCCAGCTACACGAACCTGGTTGGGCTCCGGCCCAGCTACACGAACCTGGTTGGGCTGTGACCCAGCTACATGAACCTGGTTGGGCTCCGGCCCAGCTACACGAACCTGATTGGGCTCCGGCCCAGCTACACGAACCTGGTTGGGCTGTGACCCAGCTACATGAACCTGGTTGGGCTCCGGCCCAGCTACACGAACCTGGTTGCGGAAGAGCGTGCGCTGCGCCGTGCGGACCTCCAGCGCGTCCGCCTGCTCGGGCATCACGTCCAGGATGGGTGGCAGGCCGCTAGCTGAGTCCACGAGCTTGCAGTCGACGTAGAGCTCGGCGCTGGAGGCGGACTCCTGCAGGCCCGACAGGCGCAGGATGAGCGAGTGCGTGCGCCCGTCGGCCAATGGCGCGTTCTGCAGGCTCACGGTGTGCATCTTGCCGTCGCCTTTCAGGTAGCGCAGCGACACTGCGAGGGGCGCAGGTGCGCGTGGATCGAAGGGGGAAAAAGGAGACAAGGAGGGTGACGCAGTTAGAGATGTTGAAGGTGGTACAAAAGCGCAGCCCTGGAATTGCGCACTCGAGCCGCTGTCAGTGGAAGGGGCAATCCGGCCACTCAAAGACGGTATTCTGGGCTTCTCTTCCACCCTAGCCAGACATCTTGGATAGAGGTGAGAATGCTCACACTTGACGTCACCACATGCGACCTGCCTTATTGATTAAACAGTGGTGGACAGGGGTGGGTAGATTTAAGAAACGTGCACATCGTTTCAACTGCCGTGCTTGGAGAACGAACCTCGATTGCTTTAATCATTGTACCACAGCAGCATCCCGAGGTGAGGGATGCAGGTGTTTCACGTCGTCATGAACATCATAGTCGTCATCAGGAATCGGTCAGCAGCACAGATGCTTGTCGGAGCACAGACACTGCGGCATGCCCCAATGTCCCCCCTGTACGAATTGATGAATTGTCACGATTTATGGTCGAGATGCAGTTGAAGATTTATTTTTTTACATTGTGAAAGTTAACTCACTGCATACAGTACAAAGTAGAGAGAGGGAAGATACGGTGACTGATTTATGTATGTGTAGAGGTGTTACGGGAGGGGGACACGTGGTTGTATAACGGTGGCCACGAACACGTCCGCTACGGCCACCACCCTGGGGGGCTGTGGGGGATGCTGTGATCCCTCCCAGCCCCACCCCTCAGTGAGGGACAGTATAAAAGGTGGGACCCGGGTAGCTGAGAGGCAGTTCGACTCAAGCAAGATTAAGAGCCGGTGAAGAAAGAAGATCGACTAGCCAGACCCTGGAACTCCTTTGACCCGCTGTCCTTTTGAGGGCCGGGCAAAGCAAGCCAGGGTGCGACACCAGAGCCACGAGGGGTGATGTCCTTCTGAGGGCCGGACTCGTGTGGCTGGTGATCGGGACCTGCGCCGAAGCTGGGCCAGGTCAGATAGCCTCCTGAGAGAGGACCAGGATAGAGGGAACCAGGGAGCTAGCGTGGGCTAAAGCTCGGGGAATGTTCCCTCTATAGAGTACAGGTGAAGAAGCCGTTACCTCTTCAAGTATCAGATTCGCCTCTGTAATTGAAGCGTCTGTAATAAATACGTGGTGCCTCCAATGAACAGTCTCCGACGTCAATAAGGCCACTACATATGTATGTACGTTGAACTTATTTCGCACCGTATGTAGCCAACCGTGCTAATCGAATGTGCATTTTGGAGATCACACTTTATAGTGGAATGCCTTGAAACGTTGCATATAACATCAGAACGATCTTGTATGGGTACATGAGCAGTTGCCCATTTGCAGATATTGAGTTATAAATAAACTCCTGAAGAATCAAGACGGATGCATAAAATAATTTCTAATTACATTCATTGAGAGTGGAAGATGTGAGCCACTGGCATGTTAAGTGACTTTTCCTTGCGAGGGACCATTCATACTCTATTGTCATTTAAGGAGAGCCTCACTGAGTCTGAATACTTATTTTCTGGAGGGTCCTGCGTTAAAATGTTTGGCCATTTCTATTTAGTGAGTGCATGGCATTTGGGAGGAAACCAGAACGACCAAGGAAACCCTTTGAGTACAAGAAAAGAGCGCTCATCACTCTGCACAGGTCGTTTCATCTCACAGCCCGAGACTACAACACCTGAGATTTCTGGGAAGGTTGCCATACAAGGCAAAGGGGGGAGCTCTCACGAGTTGTCCCTGGTAAGGGAACTGTATAGTTCCAACTCACAACGAGGACGCTTACTCTGCAATTTCCCCGACAAAAAAAATCCCTGAGGACAGTCATATTCCCTTTTCATAATCTCCTCCTCGCTCCTCCTGGAACTTTCCAGAAGGTTCCTCAAATCTCCTCCCTCATCTTTTTCCTACCAATCCTCTCCCTTGGTCTCTTCATTCGCCTCCAACTCTCTCCTTTCCCTCTTTCCCGACAAATCCCTTTCATCCTCATTCTCAGCCAATCCCATGCTATCCCGAGCCCGCCTTTGCGCAAGCTGTCTTTCATCAATCACATCACCCCAAGGTGTCGTTACGTGACCCTTACATCACCCCAAGGTCTCCCCACGTGACCCTTTTACACAAGTATCAAACGAGCTAAAAATTCTGCTTAGCATCTTGAGACCTGATGACACAAAAAACACTCACCATGATTTGCTCACCGGCTTTACCACCGCTACAACGCAATCTCTTTAATTTTTTACTTAAACGTTTGTAATAAAAAAACTCTCCCCCCCCACCCCCGTTTATATCATAAAATTATATGATCAGAGAGAGAGAGAGAAGAGAGCTGCAGGTGTTCCAGATAGTTACCCCTGTTGAGCTTTCCCAGGGCGACGAACTCCAGGTACTTGGCATTCTCGCGGCGCGAGTAGATGCCAAAGATGACGCCGCCGCTTTTCGACTGCAGCCGGAAGGTGGAGACGAAGTAGAGGTCGTTGATGGACAGCATGGCATGCTGGATCTTCTCCACCGCCTGCTGGTTCTGCTTGGCCTCGCTCAGCCCCAGGAGGTCTATTGCTGCGCACAAACACAACACGTGCACACACGCACAGGGGTCAATGTCATCGATAAATAAGCAACCCCGCATGTACATTAGATGCAAAAGCCCTTTGACCAAATGCGAGCCCGCTCATTGAACGGACTGAGACCATCAGCTCACTGCACATGAACACCAGGTTGAATGTTGGCTGGCTGCTTGCATGTGAAACCAGAGTCTCAGTGAAGCCAGTTCAACTCTCTGACAGCATTGGAGTATCTGTCTGAGCCACATAGCCACCTATACTGCGTTGGCAGTGATGCAGAAGCACAAATAACAAACAAACTCAACACATTAGTCAATAACACTTGCTTAAAAAGAAAAAGTAAATAATAGGTGACGATACAGGTAAAATGTCTTACTCCAGAGCCTATAGAGAAGGTATTAGAGTGTAACAGCACATAATTAAGAAGGGTGTTAAGAAGGGTGTTATTGAAAAATGAGTTTTTATGTATTTAGTTGCGAGTGAATCTTTATTATGAGCAGCTCCAGAAATGTAACCATAGATTGTGCAAACTGTCTCATTGGCAAGTTAGGCTATACTATACAGTACCAATATGTGACTAAATATGTTTTTTGTGAATGGGTTCAATGTCATTACAATGTGTCTATGATTACACAAATATATAAAAAATCTTACATTTTACCCAAAATGTAACAATTTTGCTGGGGATGTATAGTTCCATAGCATTACAGATGATGTTAGTGACCTCAACACATGTCTTCTTAGGGTCGTTCTCCGAGAAGACTCTTGACCAGCCTGTAGATGCGATGAAGCCTCATTCCTAAGTCGTTGGCGTTTTGCATTGCCACACTTTCCTCGTGTAAGGCTTGTCTCTGGGTTATGGTCTGAGGTACCCAGGTTAGCAGGCGTTGTAGATGCGGCTGGAAGGTCAGCCATTGAACAATCTATTGGAGGCCCAAGCAGCTTGCAAACTGTAGAGCTCGGCGGTCAGCTGAGTCTGTTGTTCAGCTCTCTAGCCAGTCTTCATGATGGACATTGAAGTCTCCCACCAGCATGATGGAATGTGCATCGAACTCTGTCATTTTTACAGGGTTTCAGTGTCCAGGTAGTCAAATATGTCATTGTTAGCACATGGTGGTCTGTACATGGCTCCTATGAGTAGCTGAAGGTTCGAGTTGCCAAACGTCAGCCTCGAAACCTTAATGACTTGGAGAAGATCTGCGAAGGGGAGTGGGACAAAATCCCTCCTAAGATGTGTGCAAACCTGGTGGCCAACTACAAGAAACGTCTGACCTCTGTGATTGCAAACAAGGGTTTTGCCACCAAGTACTTAGTCATGTTTTGCAGAGGGGTCAAATACTTATTTCTCTCATTAAAATGCTAATCAATTTATAACATTTTTGACATGCGTTCTTCTGGATTTTGTTGTTGTTATTCTGTCTCTCACTGTTCAAATAAACCTACCATTAAAATTATAGACTGATCATTTATTTGTCAGTGGGCAAACGTACAAAATCAGCAGGGGATCAAATACTTTTTTCCCTCACTGTAAGTTCAATGTCTGTTGGACCTCTTTGGGAGTCATGATGGATTGTTGTAGGCAGTACATTGCAATGCCCGCTCCAGATGAGGCAGCTCTATCTCTTCGGCAGCAGTGCAGTCTGCTCCGTCTTGAACAGACGGATCCAGGAATGTTTCCACCACGATGACAATTGTGGGTTCGTTCTCCTCGCACAAGTTGGTCAGTTCTCCGATGTTGGATCTCAGGCCAAGGATGTTGACCTCAATGATTCGCAGTTCCCTGTCTCGGTGGGCAGGCGTATGTCGTTTCCGTTTTGATCTGTCCTTTCGAGGCTTGGCTTTGCTTCTTGTAGAAATTGAGAGTTAGGGTTCAAGAGTTGCAGGCCCTTGACCCAAACACACACTTGAACAGTGTGATGGAGGAATATGCTATACATGACCTGATCTCAAAGCAATCGAAGACTCGTAACATTACCGTGCTCAGGCAAGAGCCACTCGGTCAAGGGTGGGGTGACCAGCGTTTTTGTTATACCCCCACTACCCAAACTGACCTTTTGTCCACACTCGGGGCAGCATTTTCCCACCTGCTCTGCTTCAGAGAGAGAAGTTCTTAAGAACCTGGTTTAATCACAGACGGCCATCTAGATTTGAACCCAGGTTCTCAGCAGTTATCAGCTCACTGCTTTAATCTCTTAGCCACCGTGATACCCACGCACTCATGATACTTGTTAACATAATACATTTATTGACCATCTCTTAAAATGAATACGTGTGTGTGTGTTTGTGAATGTGTTTGTTTGCCGAACACATACAACGCTTGTACAGGTATTCAGACCAATAAACGTTTAAAGTTGAAAAGTGCGTGGCAGGTTGAGGCACCTGTCACGTGGCACGTCAGCCAGCCAACAGCCCTGCTTCCATTGTCAGAGAAGCAGGAGACATCACTGTGGTAAAGCCCACGGCCTTCTGCTGGCTCCTGGAAATCCCAGAGGCTTCTGTATAATCTCCGGACTGGATCCACCAATTTGTAATCGGGAAATCCCACAGAAGCCTCGGGGAATTCCAATGAGCCAGACAAAAAAAAAGCTGGCACATTTAGCCAGTGTCCGCCACCGTTTGCTCGTCTAACAATGGAACCAGTTCTGCTGGCCGGCCCTGCACCACGTGACACGCGCTACACCCTGTTGCACAACAACTCCACGTGCCATTGGACATTGTATTAACGGAATCTTAAGTATATAAACGTTTATAGTTTGCTATAGCAGCAAATATTACTTTTTGTACGTTGCAATAGTACAGGTGCAGGTACATAAGTGTATGTCTTTATAGAACTCTATAATCATCGAAAGTGTGACGAGGGTTACTTCGGAAAGTACTGTTCTCAGTTTCAAAAACGTGGCCGATCACTCGAGAAAATGTAATCTAAAATGTGTGTAAATTAACATAACTGGGTTGGCTCAGGCTCGGAAAAATACAAATATGCTACCAATGTAAGCTTTATAGAGAATAGCACGAAAAGTTCCAAATGTTTTATTCTACTTGTAACTAACCCCCCTTATGAAGGATTAAACAAATTGTTTTTGCTGAGTAATAGTAATCGTATGGGATTACCAGTATGTGCGTTTGGACATCGATTACAGTGATGAGTTACTTGGACCGTGATAACCCAAACACCAACCGTAGACGAGTAAGCATTGATTAGCGAAATGGTTAAATAAAAATCCCACTTTACCTTTCTAGAGAGACAGGGATTCAGCAGGGATCGACAAAGTGTGGGCTTTCACCCAGGCACATATTAGGCACGTATTGTCGTTTTAAGTGTTATTACAGTTAGCCTGTGTTTTTTTAAGATTGTTAAAACTGTTGCTCAATGGCCCATTGATAAACGAGGACATCCTATCGTGGTGTGCTGGCTTGCAGCCATTTAGGTGCCCATAATCAGTGTCAACTTCCATTGAATGGACATAAAGTTTGCTTTTTGTCCATTCAAACCACACCTCTGTGCAACGCGGTAATGTCATCAGACCTTACACAAATTCGTGTCAGACATGCATTTGCTTGCCAGCTGCAAGTGGGCACCTGGCCAAGCAAAACATTTTAGCACGTCCTTTTAACTTACACTGTCACATCCAATAGGGCTGACTCTAAATCTGCTTACAGTTCACAGAGCTGACTGACAATAGCACAATGGTTCCTAACCACAAGCCTGCACATCAGGAGAAAGAAAATACCTTCAGGGGAGCCACTGCTGTGCATAATTAAAGGATTTATCTTTTATCAGTGGCCGGTGATAAATATCAGCGTCTGTTACCATCACCAGAAGTGTCAGCCTCCATACCATGGGAACAGGAGTTTTTAAGCTCCCTGACCCAAATATAGTGTAATATAGTACACTATATAGTACACTAATGAGGAACGTGACAAGGTACCAATAATTAAAGTCAACCAATGAACCAAAGAACTCACAACTTAGCTGGATATAACTGCGGTTACAGCGCTTAAGGAAGATTTAGTAGTTTGTGAGTTCTCAGTAGGGAGTCAACTCAGGATTGATTTTCTTGGGGACTGATCAAATGACCATCAAGTTGTTAACTACCTCGGCTGGTATACAGGAGGTCGTGAGTTCGTTCCCGACTCTGACGCCTGTATATTTGCAGTTTGCACGTTCTCCCCGTGGTCACGTGGATTTTTCTCTGGGTCCTCCGGGGTTTCCCTCCACATTTAGAAACACGTGTTTAGAGTATTTGGCTGCGATGAATTTCCACGTGATAAGCCACTTGGTTGAGCTATCATCTGTGGCCAGGTCACTTCTGATAAAATAGCTAAATAGCTATTTGGGCCTTACCTGGTAAAATAAAAAAAATATTGTTTAGTTTGTTGGAAGTCAACAGTGGTGGTTTTCTAAAGAGACAGGCCCCTTATGGAGTTTCCGTGCCTAAGCTCAGGGCTGCCAGCCGGCAGACGCTGGGACTCTTCTGAATAATTCTGTGTGGTGCTGCAATTAGTGACTCGTTTTACTGCATGGCGTTTACATTTTGTAATGTATACTTTTTTTCAAATATTTTATATCATCAGGTGAAAACCAACAAACAATAATTATTGCTTTGGAAGGTAGACACGTCAAACAAACATAGGGACAGATACTGTATTTAGTCTGAAATAAATTAGCACCAAATTTATTGATATAAGGGTTTCGATACCGAAACACAATGGCCCACTGAGAAATTATGTCACCAGTTTTTAAGGTTTACTTTACACCAGACAGTGCTCTTTTGAAAATTCCTAACAAATCAATGAAAAATCCCCAAAATATACGGTATAATATGCAAATGAGGACAACCACAAGTGTAATTTATTTGTATCTCCGCTGGCACTGTTTATAAGCCAAGTATGTAGTGTGGAGCAGCGTATGTGACACTGCCCATGTTCATTCGCTTTGTTAATGTGAACCCTGCAACTCAGCCACCACAGGAGCTCACAGTTTTTGTGACAAAA